TATAGAGACATGTACAACATACTATCTATTTAGTAAGAATTGTGATTTTGTTTCGACTTTTTGTATCGTAAAGCAAATTTACTTTTTAATAGTGATGAAGTCGCCCGTTATATACCGATACTTCCAAACCAATTTACCCGTTGCATATAGAACTAGCCCGATAAAGTCTGTCCAACAAGCCAGGAAAGATTTCGACAGATGGCATTCAAAAAATAACTAACGCAACTCTTGTGTTATTGTAACAGACGGTTTATTATCTCTATATTTACACATATTTTGTTATGGTCTTCTATTAAATCAGTTGGTTTAAAAAAAAACAGCATATACAGGGTGTTCCTTAATGACATGCTACTATTTAAGGAGATGGTTCTTGGACCTATTCTAAGAAAAAAACTTCATATGAATACCTATATGTCCTAAACATCTTAACTTTTCAGATACAGGGTAGTAAAATTTTCTATTTTTTTTTCAAAATATCTCTGATGTTATATTTGATACGCGTCTTCCATGCATCAAAAATCAAAATGCTTATTTTGATATACAAAAAAAAAATATATTTTATTTCTTCATTTCCTCCCCAGGCGATGGAGAAATGATTTCTATACAAGTCACCGCCTCAGATTTTCAGCGATTTGACCCGGAAGTAAACTCACTTTAATTTGTTTAAGCAAAAACGATGCGTCGGACGAAAAAAATCATGAGACGAAAAATGTTTAGAAACGAATGGAGATTTTGAAAATAATTTTTATTTTAAAAGAAGTCAGTGGTGTACCACTTTTTTCTCCAAAAATATTCAATGTAAAACCCGTATGGACGACACTGGTCGAAATAAATAAAATTCTCTGTACACCAAAAAAGGTATTTTGGTCCATAGAAGACGTGTATCAAGTTTCACAAAGATATCTGTAATAAAATCAGTGTTACGAAGTTATGAAAAAAAAATTAGAAAATCTCATTAAGTCATTAAGTAAATCATGTAAATAACTTAAAGAACAGTATTCATAACAAATCATAATCCCCAACTTCAAAAAACTCAATATAGTATATTTATTAAAAGTTAATATGATTCACTTTAGGGGGTTTGGCCACGTTTTACATAAAAATGTTCTAGAAAGAAGAAAACTAATAACAATCTCGTTGTAATTTATTATAATGAAGACGGTCTTCCTTTTAAATTCATCCCTTGTATACCTAGTCCAGCCTGGTTCACTGGGCTACATGCTGAAAGGTCAAATTTAGGCAAATATGTTGACATCTTTAACAAAGGATGGCAGTGTCCGTCACCCTTAAATTATCGCGGACAGAAGTTAAGAAGGCACATCTCAGTATCAACCTGTTTGTCAGACTTAGGCGCCACCATCTGATTTATAGCCAACCACTTGACAGCATGTGGCAGTTCGAATAAAATTTCGGTAGTACCGGCATTTTTTCCGCATTTTTTTTTTCTACAGAGCTCCCGAGATATTTGACGTAAAGACCTTTTTAAGACGAAACTTTAATAAGCTATAATATTGAGTTTGAACTTTGAACAGCTTTGGTACTTTTTGAGAACGGCTTGTATTTTAATGTAATTTGTTTTCTTGCACTATGGATATGAATAACTTAATTGACATGTATTTCAATATATGCATTTTGATCTAGTGACCGGGTTTTGTTAATTTTTTTGCAGCTAAATTATTTCTGTCGAAGTGAAATCTCTCGAAGGGAAAACAAAATTTATTTTGCCGAAAGTTTATCTTTCAAAATGTTGAATCATTTAACAAAAGTAAGGAATTTAAAAACCAAAGGTGCCACTTTTCTCGATAATCTATTTTTTGAGTCATCTCAATAGCTTTTTTGTTTCAGATATTCGCGTTTCACGAATTCTATAACAATATTATAACAATTTTAGTATTTAAAGCATGCCTTTGTTTAGGTTCTTCTCAACACACTATGAAATAGTGTTTATTATTTTTGTAATGTCACTGTCATTGAAAAGTATTATTATTATTATTTGTTACAGTTACTAGTAGAGGTGGTTTGAAGAACAGAGCTTGTATCGGCTATACTTAATTGAACGTGGTGGAGTTCAACTTCTAGACTTTTTACAACCATTTCTGTTAGAATTGGCAATATACAATAATAATATGATTTTTTGATGACAGTGACGTTAGAAAAATAATAAATTATAGTTCGTATAGGTGTGTTGATGAAGACCAAAATCAAAGACATGCTTTTAATACCGTACGATCAAAAATCGTCAGCGATGGTTATGAAATGAAGATCGCTGTCTTTTATATCTAAAATTATATGGGGAATGTCATCGATGCTCATTTCCAAGCCAACTGGACGCCGTTTTTTTCGATTATACGGTACTAAAATTTATGTAAATCGTTACTGTAATTTTCAAAAGCGAATATCTCAAATAAAAATAAAGCTATCGAGATGAACTAAAAAAACAAATACATATCTATAAAAGATGCACAACAGTTTTTAAGTCAAAGAAAAAAATATCCAGACAAGTGGACTCGGTATTAAAGGTTTAAGTTGCAAAGGAGAATTCGAAGCTATCCAACCGATCTGAAATGTATTCGGCGTCAAAAGTCAATTAACTCGATTTTTTACTACAAGAGGCTTGGATTTCAAGTGGGCATTTACATGAGCCACTAGCATAAATCGTTGAACATCTAAATCAACACTGGTTTTAAATTTGTTGCTAGATAAAATAAAAGGCGGCTGGGTTTGTTATGGAGCGCGTAAATATTTACATAGAGAGCCAGCTCGATTGTTTGTTGCAAAAAAATAGGAAGCTCGAATTTCCAGTAAAAAGCTCTAGGTAAAAAGGATCCTGTTAATATCACTTCGCACCTTTAATAGCTTTCCTGATGTCTTGTTTATTTTTTTGCAACCGCACTCGCTAGAAGTACAGGAACCCTTGTCGTTTTTGATAATCTTCATTCTTTAGAACCTAATTTAGCACTAGGGAAATAAAAATCATATATGCTTATTGTAGTAGGGGAGCCTAAGTGGGGATTTTGAGATTTGGTCATGCGTGGCAGAGTAACATAAGGGGAAAAACCTGACCCCCAGTTATGTACCTTCCCCCCATGCATGAACCTTTCATACAGGATCGTGCGTGTAGGGCAGCCGATCGAACTGGTAAAAAAATTATCGTTAGAAAAACTCGAGCGCGTCAGATTCAAGCCAGGTGAGTTAATTAATTGCAGAAAAGTGTGTATTTAGAAATAATCTGACGAATTCAACGTAACATAATGAAATGAGAGAATAACAAAGTTGCTAAAAAACGTTACCTGAACATTCTCTAGCGTTGTATTTTTTGTGACACGCCCAAGCATTTCTTTATGAACTTTTTTTATATATTTGAAAATCTGCACATATTCTCCCTACCAGTAAAAGGACATACATCATATAACCTTTTTTTTCTTTTTAGCATCTAATACAATAGGCCCCACGACGCTCGAGTAAACACGATTTAGCATCTTGACCTCTCCTAATATTAGAATGTATTTCGGATCTAAAATGAAGGATATTTTTCCCATATATGTTGTATTTTCGGCATTTATAAAAACATACTTTGTCCTCAGAATAATAGTTATTATTATTTTGAATCCCATTTTTTCCTGTGTTTTATATGGGGTTTGTCGTTTATGAGTAGAGATTCAAAGATGCGGTCTTTGTCCTAGCCGTCTTTGTCTTTGTGTCTGAAATAAGGTCATACATCTATTTGTTGATGACTTCCCTCTTATTTTTAAAAATTAGGCCAGATCAGAATACATAATAATATATCGGGTGTTTCTCAAAAGTGGCTGACGCCTATAACTTTTATTTTTTCAGACAGTTTTCGGTCACTTCCTATTTCACCGGATATGACTACAACTTTTGGTTTTTAAATTGTACCCTCATTTTTTTACTTTATTCGATAGAAAATAACACTCTGAATAGAATGACATCAACAACATGTCAACTTTTGACACTCTCGCTGAAAAAATCGTATTTAAGTTTCAATCTAGAGTGCCATGGCTGTGTTAAAAACACTAATTTTTAATCAAGGAGCCGTGGAATAGTAGCCCTATAGAAAATAGATTTGTTCTTGTTTCTTCTGGCTATCAATAAAGATGTCCAAATCGTATTTCTAATTATTACTCAATTTTTTCAGGGTGGCTCATTACCATATTTGGAAAAAAAGCATTTTTTACGAATAATTTAGTACCGAACACTTGGTATTTTGTGTGAGTCAAATTGTCGTTACATTTATGGCCATGGCACTCCAAATTGCAATTTAAAATCCTATTTATTTTTAATTAAAAATGCCAGAAGTTGACGTGATATGTCATTCTATTCAGAATGTCATTTTCTATAAAATGAAGTACAAAAATACAGAGTGTGTCATTTAAAAAACAAAAGTTAGAAACAGGAAGTGACCGAAAATAATTGAATGCTCTAATCAATCCTAATTTATGTCATATACCAACACACCAAATTTCATTTTTATCTGAAAAATTTAAAAAAAATATAGGGGTGAGCCATTAAAAAATGTGATATTTTTTTAATTTGAAAAGCATTTAAGAGCCGTACACCTGCTTTATGTGCGAATTTTCTGCTTAACTTTCTGTGCGTACGCATTTTTTAATTTTATATGCTTAGTCGAAATTCATGTAGCATCTGATCCCAACACCCTGTAGCATTAAACTCAAATGTCTAACATAGGTATACTAATTTATTCTTTGTCTCTATAAAAGTTTAAAAAATACAGTTTCATTTGTTACTATATTCTGTGGTAATAAAATGAAATCGTTAATAAAATTAGCAAATGTTTATAGGTATGAAAAAGCACTTGTAGCTATTAATAAAAAAAATTGGCATTCGATCAAATATCGATTTCGAATTTCTGAAGAAGGAGGATGTCCATTTGGCTAACTCCTCCCAGCTATCCAGACTCCGTACAATCCCGATGTCGTTTTTCAGGATGACTCCACCCACCATATCGGACGCAATTTCAACACTGGAGTCTGGAAAGTTAGTTTTGAAATAGCCTGAGCAGTCGGGAAGTTGTCGAGAAAATACTTTTTTTTTATCGTTGTGTGTTCATATTTACCAGTGATTTTTGTGTTACAACTCAAGATTCGTGCGTTTTTTAGTGATACTATGTCTTACAGTAATTCACCACAGGACACAGATCCATTCCAGTATGGGTATCATCACAATCATCATAATTTTCATTATATATCAGGTTAATTGCTGTTTTTTTTTTAATCTCAAAGGGTTTAAGTGCCAAATTCTTCAAAATTCGTTTTTTTTTTCATAAAATAATATGTGCCATTCTGCCATGCATTAGAAAGGGCTCTATGTTTATATCTGCTGTGGAAATATTCTATTTATTATTATTTAGATGACCGTCAAGTTTTTTTTTAAGGCGAAGGGTCTAAATGGCAAGAACAGCCGTAATTTCGTGCATATTTTTCATTTTGTTTCTAGCACTGTCTTAGTATATTCTTAATTACTTAATCAATCTCAATAGGTACTAAAAAATAAGAGATTTCATTACTGTTTTGTGAAATTGTTGCCGAGATATAAGACTATTGTATTGCTGCTGGCTGCTTTTATTAATAAAATTTCACATCTTCTTGCTTTATTTCACTAAATTTATGCGCTTTTCTTAATTTCCTCGCAAGTTTAAATTTGGAACTTGGACTCTTTGGGAATATTACTCTTCAATTTATGGTTGTCTATATATACCTTTCTTCCTTTGTCTAAGAAACGAATTATTTTTTTAGAAAAAAAAATATTTGTTTAAATATTATAAGCAAAAAGAAACTAAACAATAATACCTCAAACAATTTTTACTACCTAAAAATACTATAGAGAACATAAATTTCAATAACTGATGCTTTTTATTAATTAAAAAAACGTAATAATAATCTGTGTTTATAACATTAAATAAATAAATCTGTGTTTATAACATTACACTAATGTTCATCCTTCCAATTGTTGTGTTTATGGACTGTACGTGTAGCTCTATCTCCAAACCAAAAGAAAAAACTATGAAAATAATTAGCATTGTTTTCTCACACATCTTTGTGCCACGTTATGATATTTTTAATACTTTGTAACTTTTCTCAAAAAGAAACTAAACAATAATGTATAATGTCCATAACTTTGCGCCCGGTTCATTTCACTGGAAGATAATCTACAAAATAAAAACGTTATTTTCTGTAAACAGCACCGCGTTGATCCAAGGAAGACCAATTTGCCAAAGGTATTTAACTAATAAAATAAATTTGCCTAACGGACAAAAAGTGCTTAACATTTCAGGAGGTATATCCCCCGTCGTCATAAGCAAAAAAAAACACCAAGAATAAAGAAAAAACTATTTCAAATATCTAAGTACAACTATTTTGACCGTTGACGTTCTTGTTTTATATGAAGTCAACGTCCAGCTAACAATTATTACTACCGGATAACAATTACTTAATGAAGTACCTAATAACAAAAAGTTTCAAAGTTTCTGTATAAATATGATTATTTTTAGTTTGTTTTCAATGTTGACTTATGTTATGTTTATTTATTTAATGTTTAAAATCAAAGAAGTGATAGCCAGGCATCACTAACATCTAGAGATGCCTGAGGAATGAGGGATACATTTGAGGCGTCAAGTTGCAAAACCCGCCTTATCCCAAAAACCTTGTTTCGAGATAATAAGCAAAAACTGTTTTAGCAAATGTTTGAAGCATATACTGCAACATAACCCGCCTTATCCGACTTATTTTTGCATTTTTTTCTCTTTAAAAATTAAATATTAATTTTTATTTCTACAAAAACCAGACACAAAACAATGATTCCACTCAGGACACGTTTTTTTGTGTGCGTTTTGTTTTGCGGGTTTTGCTACAGCACGATACCTATTTGCATCCTAACTTTAAGCTATTTTATTATTAGGTAAGGATTTGAAATGGATGATAAGACGTCAGTAGTACCTAATACTATATTTGTGTAAAAAGCCTATTAAAAAATGCGGGTTTTGCAACAATAATCACAATAAAAAGCAAATATAAGTGGATAAGACGGGTTTTGCTGCAGATTGGGACTATGTTTATGTAGATTTTAGGGTCCACTATTAATGTATATCATCAGGCCATTTTTTAAAAATAATAGATAATTTTTTTTCTTTTAGAGGCTATCGATTCTTTCATCATAATTTTTGGGCTGGTAATCTAATCTGCTCTGTGCTCTGGTGTCCCATGAATGCTGGCAAATTTTATAAATTGTAAAAATCGCCAAAAAAAATCGAAATTTTTTTAAAATAATCTTTATGTTCTTTAATTCGGACATTTAAGGGTCTAGATGTTTAAAAAATAATAGTTGAAACACTTTTTAATACTATAAAAACTATAGAGAACAAGAACATCAAAAAAGTATGTTTTTTTATTAATAAAAAATCACGTAATATTAAATCTGTGTTTATAACATTACACTAATATTCTTCCTTCCCATTGTTATGTTTATGGACTGACGGTACGTAGCATATGCACACAATTATTCTACCTCTAAACTTATCACATTTGCTAGACAAATGCTATAAAGACTTTATAAATTCTCAAGGAAAATAAACAAACTGAGGCTATTATAATACTGTTTTTTTTTAATTTTAATTCTTTTCTACATGTGAACAATTTGTTGTCGGTTTTGGTGGGAGACTAATTAAGATTATAGTTTGTTTCATTAAGTATTTTTTCCTTGCCGAATAAAAATAACTCGGGTTTACATAAACGGTCGTCGAGTTAATAAAATTCGATAAACAGAAAATCTGGCTTTTGAGAAAGCCTTTGAGCCAGTGCCATTAAAATTTTATAGACCTCATCATCCTGTATATAGTATATAAAATAAGATAAATTTAGATACCTGGTTAATTCATTTCGGATACGTATTGTTTAACTAATTTTCTGGATGTCTGTTAACAAACATTTTTTTTCTTATTAAATGGTGAAACATCGTTGAAATACTTGTATTTTAAGAAAAAAGGGTTTAATGGGACTAATTGTATCTCTACATATGTTTCGGCTTGTTAGGCCTTTTTAGACAGTTTCTTAAAACTAACCGTCTATCTACAGTGTAATGAAAAAATTTGCTATGGGGGTTTTTGATTCTCTATGTTGTAATTTAATTGGATTTACATTAATTGTGTGACTATTTCATATACAGTGTGTTGCTAGACTGGAACTTTGTTGCAGATTATTAATACATTTAATATGTTCTTTATATATAATTCTTATATCTAATTTTAATCTGTTTGGCTACTCGGCATCACAATTATCACAATCCACTCTATATACACACCCGACTAATTAATAACATTAGACTTAAATTTCTTTTATTTCTAAATAATTAATACCTTTACGTTCTTTTTTATTAAATTTTGTTGGTAATAATTCAAAAATCGATAATTACTATTGTCTTTAGTTTTTTTTCAATGTTTCAAATCTATATATTTTTTTAGTTTTAAATATGTATTATGATTATCATATTTAGTATTTATAAACATTTTAATATCTTTAGAAATATGCGCGGGAATAATTTTTGTAGGTAGGTATACATATATATTTTACTTGCACTTTTTATAGGAAGAAAGGTATAATTGCACATTTTTAAGTATAAAATATAATTATGATTCTTTCGTTGTGTGTACAATGTACAGTATTTCGAAATATTTCTTTTTTTCTAGATGGTAGTACCGTAGGTGGCGACGAGTCAAATTTTTGGTCAAACAGTCCAAGATCCGAATCACCATCTCCAAATGTTTTACAAAGTCCAATAGATAACTCTTATCAATTATATGGAAATACACCCCCATGTTCAAATACAAACCCCCATTATGGGCCATATCGATCTAGTATGTGCATGGATCTCTCACAGAAAATAAGTATTTGAGTCAAAAGAAAATGCAATTCCAAAAACTTGTCTGGAAACCTTACTCCTAAGGATATCTTATTTGACTTAACTACTTATTTCCTGTGTCCAGATATGTAAACGGAGAAATCAGAGAAAATGTATATTTTTAGATTATACTACAATTTCTTCTCAATCTAGTCTTGGTACTCCATTTGTCCGAGTAATAAAACGACGAACGACAGCAAACAAAAAAGAACGAAGAAGAACACAAAGCATAAACAATGGTTACGCTAATTTGCGGGATTGCATTCCAAACGTGCCTGCCGATACAAAATTATCTAAAGTGAGCTTTCTGATACTAAAAAACATTTATATACATTTATTTTATACATACATATACATAGTATAAACAGTAATTTTATCAAAATCGGCAGTTTTCCTGAATATACTACCCAACAAGCAACATTACATTTGCAATACTTCAACCAATCCTCAAACAGAGCTTGCTTTATAATATTCATTTCTAAACTAAACGTTGTGTCCTGGTTTAATGAGAACTTGCTAAAGAAACATTATGGAGTGAGGAGTGAACATTCTAGGCACACCCTAGGCAAAGTTGATTGCTAAATGTTGTTTTTGAACCGCAATTAAAAAAAAATAATAAATTATTAGTACACGTCACAAATTTTTGTTAGAAAAAGTAGTGAAATGTTTTTACAAGGTTGTGACAAAGTTTCAAATAACCTTGCGTCAAACTTCTTTTCAACATTGTACTTTGCATATAACCTCCCTGCAATGAAAAAGCAATGTTACACCTTCCGAAGTTTCAGCAATGTGGCAAAATATTGCTTGTTGGATATATTATATGGAAGAAAGTCGGTAATTTTTGACCATTTTTTACATGTTTTCGAAGGTCTTAGAAAAGTAGTAAACATAGTGATAAAACATTTGAAAATATTAGCTTCTATAGAAAATTTTATGCAGATTCAGACTATGCAGACCTTTAAGAAGAAAATTATCTTTTTGAACCTTGGTTTTTGAGCGATTTTTGATGATTAATTAAAAACCCTTTCGTAAATTTAATATTGCACTCATAACACCACAATGGCTGATATTTTCTTGTTCTACACCTTTTTATTAGCTAGTCTCAGTAATTTTATCAAAATCAATCATTTTCGACTATTTTTACATGTTTTTGAAGATCTTAGAAAAATAGTAAACATAGGCATAAAAGTTTGGAAATATCAGCGTTTATAGGAAATTGTATTATCGAACCACCCCGTATATTTTTAGATTAAGACCTTAAGACTTGCCACATCGTATATAGCTTATTTGACAAGGGCACTAGAAACAGACACACCAGGTACATTTAAAGCTGAATTGGGAACACTATCACGGAAATCAAATAGTGCAAATACCCAGCAAAATCACCATAACAATAATAGTTGTATGAATGGTCACAATTCACCTAAAAGTGACTCTTCGGTAAGTTTTTTTATCATTCAATAAACGTAATTAACACGTGCTTCTATAACATTTAATGGTAAATCGAACAAAACTCTTGAAGGATATCTTTCATCGCTTGGTTTCTTTTTGACGATTTAATAGCAGCTATTCAGAAATATTGAGTTGGAAGTGTCGACATTTATGCCAACGTTTACACTCGTAAAAATATTCCTGATTGAAAAGAAAAAGATTTCAGATCAGTTTTGTTGTTTTTCGAGAAGAAAATGATATAATATCGTTAAGGAAAATTAGAATGAAACAGTAATCTTATTATGAGTGATAATGATCTATTAAAGTTCACCCCTCAAATATATCTAAGTAGGATGGCATGTCCCAGAGACAGGCGATTACGTAGTAAAAAGGGACGTTATTATTCCCAGTCAACCCCAATAAACTATTATTTTTCCACAACTTGATTATCAGCCTTTAATTCAATAAAAGTCTAAGGGTGTTAATATATTTGAGACTTAAACCTCAACTTTTTTCTAATACAATAAATGATTATACGAATTATTTTTTCGTTTAATTTAGTCTTTTTGATCTTCAAAGTTAACTACTGAAAATAAACAATTTGATTCGTTTTAATAAATTCTTTAAAAAGTTTCAAACACATGTTTTGTAGAATCTTTTTAAAATTTACATGGGATTACCTATGTTCAAGTTTATTTTTTATTACACTTAATCTAGTCAACTTGTACTCAAAAAAAAACTTTTTGAGGTAAGTTTTGGGGTAGTTCTGATTTCTTCTATTTAGTATGATTTTTAAGGTGCTGAATGCGAATCTGATGTTTGCTAACGAGTTGAGAAAAATACAAAAAAAAATGGAAAAAAGTGGATTTTTACGGTTTTTTGTTTATACCTTTAAAAATATTAACTTTTCGTAAATAATATTTGGGCTCAAAATTAAAGTAAATATAATTTCCTATAATTTTTGTTAAGTAAGTTTTTTCTCTGGTTCGGGCTCAACAGACATTTGAAAATTATCGTTTTTTGGTTGTCTCCGCAACTACTTACTTTTTGTACTCTTAATTTATTATTAAAGTCTAGTACGTATTTTTTTTTTGTTTTAACTTATATCTCATATACAGGGTTGTTCACCAGATACGACACGGAGTATTGTAGCTAAACGATAAGATTTTTACAAATTGTAAGTTTGGGGTTCGTTGAAGGACTATTAGAGCTACAATTTAAAAATATTTTTACAAGATACAGAGTGTCCCAAATAAATAAATATATCAAAGTTGTATTTTTTTAAATGGAACACCCTGTATATTATTACATTTTTAGTTTCTACGATTAAAATAAAGGTAAATTTGATTAAGGTTTATTATACTTAAACCTTACCGTTTTTGAAATATTTTCAATTTTGTGAAATTGCAGTAAAAATTTTAAAGCTTCATTTCTCCAAGGGTATCAATGTTTTTAATACTAAATATTTAATAAAGTTTATTTATTGATCAGTTATTGTGTTGCAATAATAAAAATAATACTGTATAAGGCAGTATTATTTTTATGAGTGTCTAAAAATTTATTTTAAATAATTATTAGCTTCAAACGGCAATAACTTCTTTAATTTAAACGGAATGCCCTGTATATTTTAGGAGAATCAGATGCACAATTAAATTGTCTATCAAATTGTATTATACCATTTTTTACCTATCCCTTCAAGTTTTCGTAGAAAATGCATTTTCTTATAATTTAGACCTCATTTATCAATATATCAATGGAATATTGACATTTTAGATTGTTTTTAAAGCAACAAATGTACAAAATGTACAGACTAGTAATATTATCGTTTTTAGCAAAACGATAATATTACTAGCCCATTTGTATGCAAAAAGAAAACTATTTAAATCTTTATAAAAGAGTATACCATTAATTAAATATAACACCATTATTTGCGCCCATATACTAATTAATTACATACTTAATTGTGTTCGTTATTAAATTATTATAAATAAATGTGGATTTGAGTCAGAAATCAATATAATAATAAGTTATCAAATTAAAGTCTCTGTAGTTATAAATAAGCATTTATTAAAAAATGAAATATCATTTTTAAGGTGTTACTTTTTATCACACTGTCTAATGCCCATACAAAATTCAGTTTTTTAGTATTTGGAGCAATTATTATTAATCAACGCAAACAGTCAGTTAATGTAGTTTGAATACTGAAATCATATTAATTGGTCCTCTTTAACAAATATTTAAACAGTTTTTTTTTATTTTTTAATAAAATAAACAAATTATATCGACAATATTAGTATCTGTACTCTTTAAAAATGTGGTACATCTTTAAAAATAATCTAAAATGTCAATAGTCCATGGGTATATTGATAAATAAGTTCTAAATTACAAGAAAATGTATTTTCCACAGAAACTTAAAGAGATAGGTAAAAAATGGTATAATATAATTTGATAGACAATTAAATTGTGCATCTGATTCTCGTAAAATATACAGGGTGTTCCATTTAAATAAAACAAGTTATTGCCGTTTGAAGCTAATAATTATTTAAAATAAATTTTTAGACACTCTGTATAAGGTAGTATTATTTTTATAATTGCAACACAATAACTGATCAGTAAATAAACTTCAGTAAATATTTAGTTTTAAAAACTTTGATACCCTTGGAGAAATGAAGCCTTAAAATTTTTACTGCAATTTCACAAAATTGAAAATATTTCAAAAACGGTAAGGTTTAAGCCTTTATTTTAATTGTAGAAACTAAAAATGTAATAATATACAGGGTGTTTCATTTAAAAAAATACAACTTTGATATTTTTTACTTATTTGGGACACTCTGTATCTTGTAAAATTATTTTTAAATTGTACCTCTAATAGTCCTTCATCGAACCCAAAACTTACAATTTGTAAAAATCTCATCGTTTAGCTACAATACTCCGTGTCGTATGTGGTGAACAACCCTGTAGACATTGATTTCAAAAATTATATTACCTACGTCCGATAATAAAAAAAATCAAATTTTTGGTATATATAAAATTTGTGTAAATACAAGTACAGGTAATAGTTGCAGATGAAAGAATCAACTGCCACTCGTTAAAAGGGAAAAGTATAGAGCGCATTATGGGTAGTAATTCTTAAACTATGAAATTTAAATGAAATGAAATAGTAAAACCTCTTGCAATAATAATTAAGTCTGTACAGATAGAAATCAGATTTATAATTACAATCCAACTACACTTTTCCATTGAAATGGTAAAACATTCAGATACCTAATACATTTTTGCAATTCGAGCTTAGTTCCTGAATAGGAACAAATAGAAATAAATAAACGTCTGCGGTTTTTTTTTCTTAAAACTCTAAAAATGTAAATTGGAGTTATAAGCAAAAAACCGCAGAAATTGCATTTTTTGCGAAATTTTGTCAACAGATCATCAGATTCGGATTCAACGCCCCAAAAAACATAAAGAACAAAATAAAAATCAAAACTACCCCAAAACTTTGCTTAAAAAATACAATTCGACTAGATTAATTGTGTTAGGAGTCTTTTGGTAAGTTCCTGTCATTAATAATTTGTATTTGTTTGTCCAGGAAGAAGGTACGACGAAGAAAGGTCGCACTGGTTGGCCCCAACACGTTTGGGCTTTAGAATTAAAGCAAGAACAGGCGTTATAAGTTTTATAAACGCCTTATTTTGGCTGAAAAATTATCTATCCTGAAAGATCATCTTTTTATATACCATTTTAGATGAAAGAAATGAACTCCTTCCTATTTTAAATGATTTTTAAAATAATGAAAACTAATGTTCGATCTGAATTAGTCAGTTTTTTAGAGAACACCATTGCTAGTGCAAATAATAAACAAACAAGAATTTATAAACATAGGAATGGAAAATAAATCGTTCAGACTAACCTGGAAGTAAGTAATTTCACTCCAGAGGTTTCCTTTAGTTGTATATCTTATCTATTTGCCGAACATTGCCACATGGCCCCTTAATGTATACATTTACATACACCTTAAGAGTTTTATATATTGTAACTATAGTAAAGTTTATAATTAGATATTTTATATCCGATTTGTTTATGTTTATTAATTTGTTTGTACAACCAGAATAGTATTATGCCAGTTAAAGATTGATTTTATCGATTTTTTTTAACTTTAAGAATAAAATTGTTTGTAGATACAAAATGCAGTATTTTATTTTTTACTCCTATTCTATGTTTTGTTTACGTTTTAAATGAGATTTTAATATAAATACTATACACACCCTAAAATATAAATATAATAGTAGGGGCGCTCAAGATACTAAATGAGGCTTTACTTTATCGTTATGGGACCTATTGTGTTATGGAAAATTGTGTGGCTAAATAGGAATTTCCTTTAAAATAAAAAAATAATCACGTTCGGGAATATCCGGGTGACGTTTTTTGCAACTTTGACAAGCTTTTTTTTACTACTCTGATTGGCTGCCCTATACGCACGACCTTATATAAAAGGTTCATGTGGTAGGGGCACCAGGGGTACTTAACAAGATGCAAGCTTTCTCCTTACTATAATAAAAAAAAACGTAATTCCAGTTAATTTTTATTGAGTTCTTGGTTTTTTAGTACTTGATTAAAATAATTAAGATAATTGTTTAAAAATAACGCACAAGCGGAAAATCAGACACGATAAATAAAGGGCTCTAGTAGGCGTTCCGAGTAAGTTAGAAAAATAAAAGTGTCAGGTATTAAATTTCCTCTAGAAATTTGACTATTGACGCCCACTTCAGAGGCAGGGCAAGGAAAAAACAAAGATACATTGATTTTATTTTAAACAAGCGTTCTCGGGTTTCAACCAATTCACTGAAAGTGATATATACAGCACATTTATTGTCATTGCCAGAGTCGGTCAGCCAATTAGGAGAGTTATTTTTAAAGCGCTATTTTTTAAAAAAAAATTCAACGATTTTACTTACGAAATGGCAATTTATTATATGTATGAAAAAAGTCGAGACGCCAGTTTCTCGACTTTTTTCATTTTTTGGGTATTTTTAACTTATTTTCAGAGATTTTAGAAAAATTGTATTTATTTTATAGTGACAAAAATCTGAAAATGTTAGAGTTTAAGGGGAACTTTCTATAGATGAATAGCATAACATAACAACATCTTTAAAGCCTTAATTGCTTTGGTTGCTTTGGTTGCTTAAAGTCGGTCCTACACGATGCTCCCAACGTTTGATCACAGAATAGGTAAGATCTTCTTACCTAAAATAAATCTTACCTATTCTGTGCTTTGAGGCATCATTTGGCATAGGCTTCGACAACATTGCAGTTTACAAGTGTCTCCTACACGATGTGGCGAATGTTCATGTGTCCAACGCTGGAAGGTTGGTTGACACATCGTGTGGGACCGGCTTAAGAAACTTCATTATTTTAACCCTTGTTTTTAAACTATTTTTGATAATGGTTAAAACTTCCACTAAATCAAATACTTTACTCGTACAGAGATTCAGTGGTAACAGTTCAAAAGTAAAATATATCAATTCCAAATAAAATTTTAATATGTATATGACTATTTTAGTAAATAACATTTTGATTTTTTGTTATTTATCAAGGCCTTCTAATAAGAAAATTATATATTTTAAATATTGCAGTAAATAGTGAAATATAGAGTGATATATATATATATATATTTGAGAAGCTCATAACAAGGCGAATCATATGATTTATAAATATACAGGGTGTTCCGTTTGAAAAACACATAACTTTAGTTCATATTTACAAAAATATTTTTTGGTAGAAAAACAGACTACGCCACTGTATTCTACGTAAAAAGTTCTACAAGAATCAGTTTTCATCTTCTCGATATCATCCATAATAACTGTAGCTCAGTAACGTAGAGGTCTATGAAAATTTTTTGACAGCATCTTCCGTTTGACAAAAAAAGTGGCACAGGTTTGTACAAACCGCACCTTTCTATCTTCACGAATAACGGGGATACCGAATGATTTCAACCAAAATGGGACACCCTGTACAGTGTTCTTGAATCACCTCTGTACAGTGTTTTTGAATCACCTCTGTACAGTGTTCTTGAATCACCTCTGTGTCTCACAACTCGTTTAATTCGTTTTTCTATGTCTATGATTAACTTCTGTCATAGTTTAAGGAAAAGAGTAGTTGCACTCTCGCAAATATTTTCTGCCAGTTTTTGCAAGCTGCCGAATATCGGCAGCTTGCAAAAAAAATATTTTATTTTAAGTCTATGGTTTCAGTTGAATTCCGTCCGTCGAGCTGCGAAGTTCAGAAGTGTCTAGCCCCAGCAAGGAACTATTAAGCTTGACCAATCAGGTTGGTTAGCGTGGTTATTTGGAGGGTGTTAATTCATTTGTGTTTGTCAAAAACTCTAACCAATGCCCTCTATAAAAGATCAGCCTACGGGCGGACTTTTGTTTACTTCATCAGCTGTACATACTTAGATATTGGGTTAGATTCTGTATTCATATTTTGTCGGTTGATTTTTGGTATTATTTATTATTGTAGTGCAAAAAACGAATTATTTTGGTGTTTAAGTGACATAAAGTACTACCAGATATATGGTTACTATGATGGTCACTCTGTTTCTCATAAAAAAACACGAAATATTACACGTTTTGTTAAGTGCTTTAACCTAAAAGTGCCCATAGATTTTTTATTTATCGTGATTTTTGTGTGTGTTTTTTAAGACTTTAACAATTCATCAATAAAGCTTAAGTGGAGTGTGTTTTTGGTGCTGTGCTTCATCTTTGTTGTATTCCTGGTGGAAAGGATAGTTATACTAGGCAGCTTAAAGTATCCGGAAGAGCAAGAAAAGTGGGTACGAGTTATAAATCAAGACAATTCTATTGAAAATATCTTTAATAAATTTAAAAATAATATTCTCCCAGGATGGTATTACAGAAAACTGGACAATTATGTTTATTTTATTCATATTGTGGAATCTCCACTCCAAGTGTTGTTGGTTCAGCTTCGATAGATTCAAACACGTAAGATAAACACGTAAGTAGGTATTATGATCTAGGGAAAAATAAAGAATATGTGTATTAAAGATCATGAAAAAGATTATTATTTTGAGTTCAACATTAAAAAAGATTTTTGTAAAGACAAGAATGATAAAGTTTAAAAGAAGAACGTGTTTTTGGTTGATAATATAATGTATGTAAACATATTATATTTGTTCAGTAATTTTTACTGAATAGTGTTGATTATTTATAATACCAAATTAATATCAAATATTTAAGTGATGGCTGAATACAATATGAATAAAATAACAATAAAATTGGTATATTTGCAATACAAAATTAAGATTTAAGAATAAAGGTGTTACTAAAAATACTATGAAATTCATATTTCTTTGTTTTAATTGGTTGAATGTTATTTACATTTTATGTGTAAGAATTATACTGTATCATCGAAAAAAATCGGCGTCTAGTTGGCTTGGAAATAAACATCGATGACATTCCCTAAATAATTGTACATATAAAATAATTAACTAGAATTTTACAATCTTGGAAAATTTGATATTCTTGAACCTTGTTTCTAAATATTCTAAATTTTTTGATTTTCTTGGGATTTAGGTTCGGGAAAAACGCTGATAGGTTTTTCATTATTTTTATTTGGTTTAAAAAAAACGTTTTGGCTAACATTATAGCCTTCATCAGTGTTGTGTCATATGAAAAAAACAGTGTCGAATATAATCCAAAAAATTACATATAAAATATTCACACCACGCACCACATAATGTTTACTGCGTACTCCATAGTCAATGTAGATAGTTTTAGTGTTAAAAATAATAATTCTAAAAAATATGTGGTCATCTTTTGATAAGTTTATATTAGTTTATTAATTGCAGTACACATTATGTGGTGTCAATATTTTATATGTAATTTTTTGGATTATATTCGACACTATTTTTTTCATATGACACAACACTGATTAAGGCTATAGTTAGCCGAAACGTTTTTCTTTTAAACCAAATAAAAACAATGAAAACCCAAATGAAAACTTAAATCAGCGTTTTTCCCGAACCTAAAAATCCCAAGAAAATCAAAAATTTTAGAATAATTTTACATATAAAACGCCAGCGATCTTCATTTCATAGCCATCGCTGACGCCTTTTTTTAGATGATATTGTATTATTTGTAAATATAATTTTTCGAACATTGATACTTGCAAAATATACATATAAATTTTGTGAATGCAAATAATAATACATCACTATTAGTAGATATTGAATGTTTTTTGTTAAATTAGATCGATTTTCAAACCTCAAAATTTAAAATATATTTTACATTTTACCCATTATCTTATGTACCTATTCATTATTTGTATATTGTAAAACATTTGCTGCATTTGTATGGTTCATAGTTTATTTGCCAAAGTATTTATTACTATAAATAGGTATATATGTTGTAGTTATTAACTGTATATTATGTATATTTCATGTAAACTATATCATTTTTAAAATACAAACCAAAAATCTGAGGAATAATTATGTTTTCCATGTATTCTACAACATATTTATTAATCCGTTATATCTAACTAGCGTGACGTCATAAATCTCGCCCGTAGGCTGATCTTTTAATAGAAGGCACTGCTCTAACGTGAGTGGTCGGGCTTAATAGTTGCCTGCTGGGGCTAGACACAAGTCGAAGTTCGAGCGTTGCGTGTTGCGTCCCAGCACAGAGACGGATTGACAAAAAATGAGTGCCTTACTGTGTGCTGCTATTAATTGTAGTAGTAATTCAAAAAATTGTTCTTTGAGTTTTTTTAGATTTCCATCGGATGTAAATCGGCAAGCTGATAGTAATTATCAATAAACATTTAATTATATTTGTTTATTTTAGAAGCTGAAATATTATGTAATTAATTAAATGTTATTATTTTTTTAGCATGTGGGCAAATCTTAGAAATAGTTTTTTAGATATATAGGTTGTCTCAAATATGCGCATGAAAATATTCTTTGGTCAGGGGATTTGCCATAAAATTTTCATTCCAATAATAATTTCCGAGATAATTTATATAGATAGGTTTTTGAAACAATTTTTAGAGTAAATATTTTGTACATCTAAAGTCTCCGCAAATTATTCATATTTTTTAAATGGAAGAATTTTATAATAGCATAATCTATTATAAATTTAGTGGACTGTATTTTTTTTATGTTTTTTTTATTTTTATTTATTTTTTCTTATAAGTGGTCGTAATATAACAATATTCAAAATATTATAGACAAAATATTGAGTTTATATTTGAGGGAAGAAAAGTGCCACACCTAGCTTTAAACCACCGTAAATATACAGGGTGGCCCATTATTGCGAGGAAGTCCAATATCGTCGTTCTTGTCGAAGATGTGAAAAAAGTTTTATTCATATGTTTCAAGGTTTATAAAGGGTCGTATCCTAAAATATTTTGTTATATACAGGGTGTCACAAAAAAGTTATGGTAAAGTTAATTTTATTTTTTTTAAATTATTTTACATCATTTCTATATACATTATTCTATATAGGGTATTTTTTATGGCGATGGCGTCACCAAAATCGGAATATTTAAAATGGTATATCTCAATTTTTTTAAATGCAACATTCTGGATATTATTTTTCGGTCAGATGCAGAATTAAAAAGTGAACATTTTTTTATTTAAAGTGTTTCTCTAAATTTTTAACGGTTTCGCAGTATTATATTACATATAGCTCTTTCAACAGTAAATTTTTATCAAAGCCACCTAATATGATCTTTGTCTCATATTTTATCGTTGAAAATCCCATATGTAATGAAATACAGAAAATATTTGCAAAACGCCTAAAAATTTAAGAACACTTTTAAATACAAAAATGTTCTTTTAATTCTACATCTGAAAGAAAAATAATATACTAGGTGTTGCATTTAAAAAAAAAATGAGATACAACATTTTAAATATTACGATTTTGGTGACGCCATAAAAAATACCCTGTATACGATAAAGTAAATTTTTCTACACGAATTTATTCTGGTGTCCTTGTCATGTTTAAGAAAACATAGCTAAGTATTAATAAAGTTATATTCACTCTAGTTTTTTGCCACTTTTCATATATAATGTTTTTAACCAAAGTTTTTTAGTAAATAAGAAATAGAATGGCAACACCGTGCTTTAAATAGAATCCAGTTATCTACAGAAAATTAAACTTGTTTTAAATCAAAAAAAATTGTAGAAAATCTCTGAAATAGATAATAATATAAAAATATGTCATTATATATATTTTCCGCATTTCTTCCCATCAGAAGATTTTCCGATACAGAAGAATTGTTACCCACACGAAATGTGAAAACATTCTGTTTTCAAGCAAGTTTTTACTGGATGATCAATTTATTTTATTTTATTTTATTGGGAACTCATATTTTTCTAAATACATGTTATCTGTGAAACTACGGCGAGTGCTACGACTATACTTTGCCTAGTTAATAGACCACAACTAACAGCTACGTCAGTGGTCACGGGAGGCGAGAACAAGGTCATATAAAGTGGCAGAAAAAGAACAAAGGATTTGACAAAGAGTTAAATCCTGTGGTTAAATCTACTAGTTTCCTTATACTATGCTTCTGTGTTAGTTTTAAAATTTATGGTCTCCAAGTCTTACGGTCAGCTTCGCTACATCCCATCATGTCATACTAAAATTTTATAAGAAAAAATAAATTTGTATTAACTAATTACTCGGGGCAACAAGCCAAAATGTATCCTAAATAAAATCAACAAAATCTTAATATTTTGGTTAGGCTAAAACTGAAAATAAAGTTATTTTTTTAATATTAGTTGAAGTTTTAGGGACACGTTTATAAAGGATTCTTTGGAGAGATGAATCCGCCACATAGGTATAGACATTTTTTAGACACGTTTATGTGTCTCTTTATACCGTATGATCGAAAAAACGGCGTCCAGTTGGCTTGGAAATGACGATAGATGACTTTTCCAATATAAATTTACATCTAAATGACGGCGATCTTCATTTCTTTCATAATATTCATTCTTCATAATATTAATAATATTATTTTTATTTTTTGTTCTTTGACTTTATAAACATTTATAAATGTTTATTTTAACAATAAGACTGACAATATTATTTGTATAATATTTTGTATTATCTTTTGTTTGTTTGTTTGTGTACCTTGTTTGTTTACTTTGTTTGTTAGTTTACCTTTGTCTACAAATTGAAAATTTTTTTGACAATAAAGGCATTTATTTATTTATTTATTTATTTATTTATATTTATTTATTATTTATTTATTTCATAGCCATCGCTGACGCCGTTTTTTTTTCGATCATATTGCATTAACACATTTATACTGCCGTATTAAAGAAAAAACCTTTATCTAAAGCGTTAAACAAATTAAGATTTTTTTTAAATGATCGAAAAAAATGGGCGTCCAGTTGGCTTGGAAATGACGTGCTTGCGGACTACTGTTGGATTCTTGTTAGAGATGCTCCAGAAACAGTTCACAGAAGGATTACAAAAAGATACCGCTTTTAGTGACCCAAAACATACCTTGTGCGTCTCAAAAGTGGCTCACCCCTATAACTTTTTTATTTTTCAGATAAAAAAACGAGAGTTGGTATGTTAGTATATGACATTAATTAGGATTGATTGACGTAATCAATTGTTTTCGGTCTCTTCCTGTTTTACTGGAAATGACTACAACTTTTGATTTTTAAATGGCATATTCGGTATTTTTTTACTTTATTCGATAGAAAATGACACTGTACACAATGGGCGCGTTCAGGGATGGTCAGCGGCTGAGTGGCTGAGTAAGCGGTTTCCCTAAACGGTCTCTTTTTACATGCAAAAACAGTCAGCCGCTGAGCAAAATACTCAGCGGTCAGTCAGCCGCTGTGTTCCCTGAACACGCACAATGTACAACCAAACCAAACCAAACAATTGAATACGTCAATCAATCCAAATTTATGTCATAATCTAATATACCAAATCTCTATTTTTTATCTGAAAAAATAATAAAGTTATAGGGATAAGCCACTTTTGATACGCGGTATAAAAGTATCCATTTTTTACTTTATGAAAAATAAGATGAAAAACATTTTTTTCTGAAAACTACACCCAAGTTTTTAATTTCATTGTTATTTTCGTATTCAGCACTTCAAAATTAGCTAAGAAATGCACTGTACATACAATATACCACCAATGAACTGAATGTTGTCCAGTGTTATTTAAGACTTACTGGGGGAACAATGAGCGGCTGATAGTATATGGACTTTGTCAATGGGAGATACTCCACAAAATTGTCGACTTTGTTGTCGACCATTAGAAAATAGAGCAGCTATCCAGAGCCATTCGTTCAAGTCAGCATTGTGTCCTCCTACGATTTTTCCTTGATCTTGGAACCCATTTTTCGCACCGCAGGAAGCTGTCCCCAAGTCGTAAGATACAGTTGTTTCGCTTGTTGGTTTAGAAGCGATGGATTTGGTGGTTATTTTAGTTGGTTTCGCGGATATCATAGTGGTTGCCGACACGGGAAAACCTGGACTGGGAGGATGAGTGGGCGTATGGTCTGAAGGTATAGTGGTGGTATGGTATGGTCTGAAGGAGGGGCTGCTTGCTAAAAGGATTTTTTTGGCGGCTGCATTCGTCGTATTTGATGTATTGTAGATTGTAGTTTATTTTTCATTTTATTATCTTTGCGGTTAAGCCATAGTAGAGCAGAATATTAAATATTAATTTTATTGTATCTATATTACTAGTGAATAAATTAGATATGGTAATTTTTAACCGTTTTTCTTAAATAATTAATAGAATTTGAATTGCAGGAAAGTGCGCATTTTTGATATTATGCACCGCAATCTACTTAAGACTATTATAACTCATTTATTTTTTTAATATATTTTTTCTGATAAATTTTGGATAACTATTTACGGGATTAACAATTCTATGTCTTTGTTAATTATAACAATTATTTTTAAATTTTCAAAAAAATTATAATTCTCACATGGGAGCCATCTAGTAGTAATCTGCGGTGACTAGACGCTACAACCATTACAGTTTACTTTCAGGCCTGGTAAGATTTTTCAGGATGTTCTCTATCTCTATGGTTCTTCTAGTTTGTCGTTTCGTTGTTTGACAACAAGAAGTATTTTTTACTGCGATTCAACAAAAAATTAGGTATTTGGACGTTTCTTGCGAATAATTTTCGTTTAATATATTTCGCAGAACTCGTTTAGTGCTTTTTTACATCGTCGTGCGTACACCCAGGTATGTATCCAGGCTGCGAAAATAATTTTAGGAAATGCCTCTGCGCTAAAATGGTGGAAATATGCTCGGCCAAACTGACCCTGTTATTTCTTTAGGCTATGAAAATGCCACCTACGGCTGATGACTCGACTGATAATGGAATATATCACTACGATGAAAATTCGTTATCCATTTCCACCGATGAAATTGAAAATACCGCCGTAGAGGATTTTAACGAGCCCCCCGAAAATGACTTTTCTGAATACTTGTGGATGGAGAATGAGGAAGAATTTGACAAAGAGGTAAGTATATTTTAGCAACGTGCATCTGTACATATAAATCAAAATAACGTAGCGAAAAAATGATTTTATAAAAAAGTTTATAGAATAAATCACACATATATTATATTACCTTAAACGTTTTTGTTATTTTTCTATAATATATTTTTGCTTCAAAAATAGGTCATGCAAAAACTTGAAGAAGAAGCTTTAATGGAAGAGTGTATTGAAGCTTTTATGAATGATGAAAGTGACTCCTACCACAATACAACACAGGAGTATGTATATCTTCTATATATCCTTTTATTACATTCAAATTTGTTGTACATAAGTATGTACAGCACATTAAGATTATTAAGATATAAACAAATATTACAGTTTCTTAGTAAGATATCATATACCTAAAAATAAACATTTTCAAGCCTAATAAATAACAACCTTATCCTGTAAACATTGGATGAGAATGCCAAAATATATATTTATTTTTTTAGCTCTAAACTACCAAGAGTTAGAAGGTATTCTATTTATTATCAGTTTTATGTAGAACAAAAAAGATAATTTACTTACTTATATACCTACTTATATTTTCTATTCAGTGTTAGTATATTTTGTTTATAACCTTGACATCATACATGTTTGTGAGTAAAATATTAAGTAATTTCATTGGCTAATTTGTATAAGTAATCAATTCATTTAATTGATTGCAATTTGGTAAATTACTAAGTAAACTTAATTTTAATAGTTAATTAATTTATAAATGAATATTTATTGTAGATTACCACCTGTGGAGTCTGTGGAAAACTCTAAACTTAATCCAGAAGCTGAAGAATTTGTTCCCTTAAGTAGAAGGATGCTTCCTCAAGAAATCTCAGTGTCAACTAGTTCGTCTTAAATTGCCTGGTCTCATTACTTTTTTATATACATATGTATATATCAATTACTATGAAAAATATGAGTCTAAGTGTACGAGAGCTAGGAGAGAAGCCAAAGAGAAAGATTAAAGGATATTGAAGTAAAGTGACTGAAAAAGAGTTCTAGTTTTTTCGTCAGTGACATTTCTGCAATGTCCATTATCTTTTCTTCATCTTTCTCTTTGGCTTCTTACACATAGACCCATGCGTTCCATAGTCTTATAAATACTTTTAGAGGCTTTAAAATGGAAATAGCTTCATTAGAAATCGATTTTTTTATAAGTTCCTCTTTTTAGATTTTATAGGTGATCTAGGCCAACAGGGCGTCTTAAATAACTAAAATATTTTTATGTTTTACAATTTTATCGGGTTTCCTTATTTTTATCCCCCTTTTTGGGGATTTTGTGATCATTATTTCAGTCATCTAAGGTATTTTTGCCTAGGAATTAAAAGCGCTAATTTTTTCTTGTATTGTGTGTCTTTCACCATCAAATTTATTTAGTTCATATTCTTCTATTTGCAAGATGTGTGTGTAGTCAGTATTAAATGACAGATTACAAATTACATTTAAAACAAAAAAATCAAGTATGTTATCTTGCATTTACAAAAATTTGTTTTTTGATAATTTGGGCAGATTTGTTTACAGTATATTTTTTAAATTCCAATGTACCCCATAGGATGCTTGTATTGAATTACCTGTTTGTACATATATTATAACTAAGAGAAGTTATGAAACTGTGTTTTAAAACATTATAAAATCTACTGTATATGAATTTGTTACATTTTTTAGTTAATTATTCATTCACGGCATTCTTACTACCTATTTTTATAGATAAAACTAAGTCTTAACAATATAATAACTAATAAATTTTTCACCACATAATAACCTGGATCAGACTCTGTATGTGATCATTTTTTCAGAATAATGTTTAGGACTTCATATTTAGCTAACTTGCATATTCTCATTATTTTGTGATCATGCTTATTGGTTTGGCTGTGATGTAATTCCCTGGCACCTTAATTTTATTATTTTATATACTATTGGAAATTTATCTGTTTATCAATTTTACACTATATCTTCACGCGCAGTTATATTATACAGGTTGAAATTATTTGTGATTTAAATGTCTCATGTTATTAAGATACATCAAGAGCATCAAATATAATGTCCATCTTTTGTTGCACTTTAATGTCTCAAAAGTCGTGGTGAAATTTATAAAAAGTCCATTTCTGACTCTGGCTCTCTTTAAGACAGGATTGGTGCAAAAAAATATTTATATTGTATAAATAAATAAATAATTGAGATTCTTTTGTTTTAATTATGAACCCTACTATACAAAATATTTAATTTTTTAATATAAATCAATAATAATGCTTTATAAAAGGGTCGGGCTTAAAAAAAAGCCAGGAAGATTACATATTTCATTTTTATTTATTACAAATGGACAATAAATTTTAAAATACTAATACTATGTATTACAAATATACATTTTTAAAGAAATGACAGAAAATTAAGTGTAGAATAATGCTTTTAAATTCTCTAAATTGAAATGGTTTTTAATTTAGCATTTAAAGTGCATATTAGTACCTATTTTCTTCAGAACAATACCGGAAAAATATAAAGTATAACTGATTAGTTAAAAAATATAAAATAAAATTTGGAGTAATATTATTTACAAGGCTGTGCTTGCTTCACCTCTTCCTTTTTCCTTTGTTTTTCTCTCATTAATTCTGCATCTCTAAAAAAAACATAAGATTTTGATTAATAAGATAATAATTAAAGAATGATTGGTATTTCACTTATCAAAAATTCCACACACTGAAAAACAATTTACAAGTACCTAGAACAAAAATATTATCTCATGTCACTACGTGGACATACTTAAAATTAATTAAAATATAAAAAAACACATATTTTCTTAATACTGAAACTTATAAACTAAAAAATTCAAATATTACAGAATATACATGCATTTTTGATGCGTTCTAGACGAATGTCAATGAATTGTTTATATTGCAAGTTGAACCAGATAAATAATTATACATTCAACTTACTGGTGTGTAAATTTATAAATAATTAACATGAGATATTAAAAGGGACCCATACAGCTTACCTAAATTTTCTTTGTTCTAAAGTTAGCCCGTCATTTTTGCCTTTGCCTTTGCTATGTTCTTGTTGTTTCTTTTGGTTTTTTGCCCTAGCTAATTCGCGCTGGTTTCCACCTACAATGCAAGAACCAACTTAACCGAAAGGAATTGGGGTATTAATTATAAGTACTCACGTGTCATTTTTGTGAAAATAAATATAAAAAACTGCCCTGGATGAAAACAAATTAATAAATAGGCTTCCGAAGGCCGCAGCCTTTTGTAGAAAACGACGATACTCAAACTCAAAGGAAAATAATTCAATAAGAATTGAGGAAAAAGGATTCTCCTACTCTTTCCAAATATCTCATTCAAGGTGTTTTGTTCGGTTTGAGTTACTCCGAATTACTCCAAATCTCGTGGAGCTTTAAAGCTGCTTTCTAATTGGGTGTTGGAAGTCACATGTCTCAAAAATGGCTGTTCTTAACCGAAATGCCTGTGATCAGAGCACGGATGTATATCAGAGGTATGGAGTGTACTCTACACTCCATAATCAGAGGTATACCGTGTTTTGTGTATACCGTGGTTCACACCGTGGTTATGAAGGGCTTTAACCGTGGTATCACTGGGTATCACTTCATATCAATCTTAGGAAGATAATTACGCTGTGATATTTTTTCTAAAACATAATAAGAAATTATTTTAAATATTTATGGTTTTCTTATCTACCTATTTTGCAACAAAAATATTACAATAAAAATATTTGTTTTGCGCTCTGCGCCATCTGTCTTGAAATGTTTGCATTAATTTTTTATGTTTTTAACTTTTCTCCAGAGATATGGAGGTATATCCCTTCTATATGTTCTATATCTCTGCTTTTCGAAACAAACCTATGAACCATAGAACTATGAACCATAGAATAATTAACTGAACTTACTGAACGCTGTGACTTATTCTATGGCTGTGACCCAAACCTCAAAATTTGACACTGACAGCTTTTATTGGAAAAATCAAAATAAAAGTAGGTATTTCTTTAATAAGAAAAAGAATTTAAATACTAAATTGAGAAGAATCTAAAAAATTAGGGAATCAAAAATGTCAGAAGACTCGGAAGATGATGATTACATGTCATTTGTGGTGGTTGATTGGTGAGTTTTAATATAATGTATCTTTTTAAAAAAATATCTAGTGTATAAAATTACAAATTCTAGTGAAGATGTACGTCCTAGCCTGTTAGTTAACAGAGAAAAACGCAAACACGAGCTATATAAAAAGAAATTCGACGCTCCTAATAAGAAACAGAAAGGGCGTAGTGATATGGAAAGAGAAAATAGAGAGAAAGGACTGGCTACAGCAATAACTAGTGATAATAAAGGCTTTCAAATGTTAGAAAAAATGGGTTTTAAATCTGGCGAGAGCCTGGGCAAAACCAACTGTGGTATTAAAGAACCTATTGACATAGTACTAAAACAGGGAACATCAGGTGTTGGGCGAGAATCACACATAAAAGAAATAATAGAAAGAGAATATAAGTTGATATCTGGTCAGAGCTTGGGAAAATCAAGAAGCAGTATTAAAGAACCTATTGATATAGTACTAAAGCAGGGAACATCAGGTGTTGGAAGGGAATCTCACATAAAAGAAATGCTATCAAGGAAACAACCTAAAATTAAAAACCTGAAACATTATGAAACACAATTCAGGCTTGCTAATAAGGAACGAACAAAAATATCTCAAATTAGAAAGGACTTTTTTAAAGCACAAAGAATCTGTGAAGAATTAGATTATAGAATTGTAAGTATGGTTTATTCACTTAATGTTCTGTTGTAATAATATGCATCTATATTTTAGAATGTAAAAGATCCTACTGAAGATTTCTATTGGACCAAAGCTACAATAAAGAAACGACGGAAAATGGAAAAGCAGTCATCAGAAGATACTGATAGCAGTGATGAGGATGATGAAGATTTTGAGCAATATGTAACAGAAGAAAACTTATTTGCAATAATTGATTATATTAGGAGTAAACACCTTTATTGCCTATACTGTGTAATTACTGGTATAGATATAGAAGATTTAAAAGAGAATTGCCCAGGCCCCTACAGAATTGATCATGACAATGAAATTGACTAATTATTTCCAAGATTATTTCATTTGTTAATATTTTGTTCGTGTGAATAATTTGTTTGAGTTAACAATAAAAACATTACTTTCATATTAGTTTTATGATTTACTGTTGATTATAAGAATAAACTAAAATGTTCATTGGAATTAGACTTTATTTGTTACAACTGTTATTTTATACAAAAAAATAGATGCTTTGGAAAATAATCTTAAATAAATTATTACATTGCATACAAAAAAATCATGCTCTACAAAAAATCAGCCATTCAAAAACTATTTAATGGTCATAAATACCTACTAAAAATGAAAATGATATTTATTAAAAACTATTTTAATTTGATCCAGTTGATAAGAGTGCTAAAAGCCCGGAAGCAGTGCCTATCGATAATGTATAGTTAACAGCTGGAGTCAGTGATCTCAAAAAGTAAAAACTAGCTAAAATAACTATTGTTAAAAACAGTGCGTTGTTATGGAAAATTGAGTAAGTGGTGGCTTCAAAATCTGCAACTTCATTTTTCTGCCACAAAATTCTCTCATCCTTCTCCTTTTTGCTCATTTTCTTGTCATCAGAAAGTTTCTTCAGTAGATCTCTGGTAACAGCTTCTTCTCTCTTTATAGCTATTTTATGCTTCAAGGTAAATTTAGTATTTCTATAAGCCATTGCAAGAAGGTACGTAGAGGCAGCTGTTACTCCAATAAAGAGTATTAAAGATGAATAAATGTCCATCATGTGAATTCTCCAAAACAACCAAATGGGCACAGCAGATACAATAAATGCGTTACCGTAAAATAGTGCTGACGATTTTGTTGAAACATTTCGGCTAAAATCTTGCAACAGGAGTTCTTCTTCCTTGGTGAAACCTCCTTTTGATGACGATTTCGACATTTTTAATTGAATAATAGGTATATTCTTGCACTAAAGTATCACTTGACTTTCGCAAATGCCTTTTAAAACTGACTTCTTAGTTATAACTGTTGCTTTACTACGAATCAACCTACTTTTTCACCTTTTTTGATGTCCACGTCCTCAAGAAAACCAACCTAATATTTCCAACACAGCAGTCATTTGAAGAAAAACGAATTCGATGTTGCCAGTTGTTATATATCTAGTTCTTATTTATATTTAAAAGTTTATATAACATAAAAAGTAATATGACACGTTAGCAATTAATGCAAACTACTCATTTTAATATTAAACTAATATACGATTCAATGTGTTTAAGCATTTAACATAGGTTACACAATTAATATTTATTTTTCTTTTTGGCACACATTTAAATTCACCTCTTGTGTGGAAAAATGGACAATTTGGCAAGTATGCAAGCTTCCAACGTGGTAAAACGGTGGTAATTTTAATCTGTTCTGTGGTGGTAATAAGGTGGTCTCTGGTGGCAGCTGGTGGTAATATATTCTGTGGTGGTAATAAATAATACAAGAAACGTTCGAAAAAAAAAACGGCATCAGCGATGGCTATGAAATGAAGATCGCTGTCCTTTAGTATTTAAGATCATATGGGAAATGTCATCGATCGTCATTTCCAAGGCAACTGGACGCGTTTTTTTTTCGGTCATATCTGGATCATATGGATTTGAAATTTATATGTATTGTAAGTTGCCTATACTTGAACACAAATTAACTTCAAATTAAATTTTAGTGCATTGAAATTAGATTACTTCAATTTAAAAAAATTATTTATTTGATAAAGCTTTAGTATTTTTTAAATAAGAAATTAATGTGTTCACTAAGAGTATATCATAGAAATAATCATGTTTTTTGTGCCATTTTAAATTATGTTAATATATCTTACAGATATATCTTAGAAACGTGGTCAAAAGATGACACTACATGTATTATTTTGACATGATTTTGACCAATGACTAAAAAATACTTGACAAATTTCAAATTGTCACCCTTTGTTTTGGTTGTAGGTTGTGTGTTTTTATTGATTCCAATTATTAAATTATATTAATAGTTTTAGAATAATAAATATTTGTTTATACCAAAGAAGAATTTAGATTTGTTTGGAAAATCTTGCAATAAGAAACAAATATAGTTAAGTACAGTTTCAAGTTCCACTAAGACTTCATCTGATACATTCTTTAAAAGCCACAATGCCTAAAGCAAAAATGATTGCAAAAATTTGCCCTGCTTGTAAGGCTCAGGTTCGTTTTTTTAATTTTTATTAATAATTTTTGAGTATATTTACACAAAATATTTTTTTCTGATTTTGTTTACTTATTGGAATTGTACTTTAGGTTCCTGTAGCTTGCAAGTCATGTTCCTGTGGTCATTTCTTTTACAATGCTAGACGAATAGCTCGCGAATTTGCTATAGAAGCAGACTATTTGAGGAGGACCGCTAGAGTTAGGCGAGAGAAACCAAATTATTATGATGCATTAGAATATGATAAGCATATAAAAAAGGTAATGTTAAATGTTATATATACTACATAGCTGTAAGTATATAATGATATAGACGTGTTTAGCTGAAAAAACGATTAAGCGAGTCCCGAAATGACGATGACGACGACGACGATGAAGTAATCGAAAAAAAGGAATCGAAATTGAGAAAGAAAAAGCAAAAAAAAGTTGAGGAGGAGGATGAAGATGATCCAATGTTAAAATTAACTCCGGATATGGTTAGCCATTGTAGTATGATTCTGGAGCACATCAATAGTAAAATTCAACTGGTAACATGGAAACCAAAGGACTAAACAATGCATGGTATTTTTTTTGTATAAGTTGCAAATTTGGGTTTGTTGTTAGTTATTATAGTTCCTAAACTGTACACACATAAATATACCTACATAGTAGTATTTTTTAATTGATCAATTGTATTAAATTCTAATAATAACAGTGTAAAATCTGTGTATTTAATTTATGGAATTTCTTTTGTTGTATGGCATATGTTTTTTCAGGGTGGATAATAGGATCTTTATAATACTATAGAGTGCTTAATTATATATTTTGTCTAATATGTATAATTATTCGTTATCACTGTATAATTAAGATTATTTTTACCTATGCTATTGTGCTTATTGTTGGTAATAGATTGTTTTATTTATTTAAATATTTTTAATAATCCACTTAAATTAATTTAGGCATTGCATAACTGCTAATTAAATTTTTATATACAATATAACAAAACCTTCACAGTATATTAGTAATCAAATAAGTTCATTATTGTTTTGCACATATTTCAGAAATTCTGTGCTGGTTTGATAATGATATATATTTTCAAAGTGGGTGTTTATATATATATATTTTTTGGAAATATAAATTTTATTGGCTGAGGAAAACATTATTCATTTTCGAAAAACCTTAGGTAATAAACTCACACAAGACTGTTAAAACTGGAGTGATTTATTTTTTCAACTGTACTGTAGAGCAATATATCAATAAGTGTAAAATATATATAAAATATAATATATATTGTATTCATAATGTAATTGTACTTTCTCTAGTACAGACTAGAATATTCAAATAAGCTAAAAAATATAAAATAAATATTTATATTAGTTTCACACATTGATTTGATACATCAAGTTTACATCCTTTGTAAAAATATTTAATCGGCTATTCTACTAATAAAAAGCTTTCTGTACATTATTCTGTAGAAAAATACAAATTCATTTCAAGACCACCTTTTTGATATGTTTCTTAATTTACTATACAAGGTAAATTACAGGTATTTTGAAAACCACACTGGTTTGATAGTAAGTTATTGTGGTCAAAACTAATTAATTCAACTAAGATTCTTTATATCGTTTAATAACTAGGAATATAACGTTGCTATATATATATTCGATTAAATTGACAAAGTTAATAAGAGTGAAGAATACACTTATTGGCACATGAACTTAATAAAAAAATCTTATTTAATTTGATTATTACTAATAATTTGCAATAGCAGTCTTAATACATTTACTTAAAATTGTTTGGGCTCTAGAGTAGCAAGCTTCTTCACATTTAGGTCAAAGTGAAGCTTGATATTTTCAAAAGAATTTACTCACTTTTCAATACTAGAAGAAAAAAAAAATATAGCCCTTCTTAGATCACTTCGCTGTTGTTCTTTTGAATACAAGGCACGAAGCCCCATAACAAGGAACCCGCCGATAAGATGATTCCTAAGCTACAGAACAGCGAAACAAATGATTGCGCTGATTCAAACCAGAGACCACATAATGGGGGGCCTATTAATTGAATGATACCGTTCACAAACAACGATATTCCATAGGTTGACTGTAGCCGTTCTTCGCCTAACATATCTGCCATCACAATGGCCGTTATACCCACATATGTTCCCGAAGCTAAACCAAATATAGAGCAAAATATTGCTATTACCCAGTAGTTGAGGAAAAAGGGCATCAGAGCCAGAGAAATCCCCGAAATAAACAAGCCCCCGACGAAGTACCACGACTTGGGGAAAGTTGTAAGATCAGACAACGCGGAACCGCCTATTCTACCGACCAAATCCAGGGCACTGACTATAGAAAGCAGCAAAGCTCCGCTGTTTTTGTCGAAATGCAAGTTCTGAGCGTAGGACGGGAGCAGAATAATGAAATTGGTATAGCTAATGGCGTTGGTGGCATTAGAAATGAGGATGATGAGATACAGAGGGTCCTTTAACAAAGTTACATCGAAAAGTTTGATTTTTTTCGGAGATTCTGCCTCAGGCCTGTCCCATTGTTTCGTTTTCGCCGATGTCGATCTTAGACTGAAGGAGCTGGCAAAAGTTTCTGGTTGTAAAGTTAGAGTGCTGCCGTGATATGCTGTGCTCACGTATTGGAAGGAACTCGTTGAAGTACTTCTTCTAGGCGCTCCTATATAAAAAAGAACAAGTTATATAAATATCACGACCATTGTAAAATGTATAAAATATTAATATATTCCTGAACTTGTAATAGTACAGGTTTTAATTTCAATTTAGTATTTTAGCATTGTGAATTTTAGTTTTTGATATTCATGTTATTCTGAAATTCACTGGCGGTTCTTTTCGGACAAAATATAATAATATATCTATACATATTTGTTAATTACGATAGCTTATCACTCATTTTATGGAAACAGATAACTAGTGGGGTGACATAACTGATAAGGGGCATTTTTGTTTTATGCTTTTGGAATAAGTATTTGCTCATTTTACTGTTTATGACTTATTGGCTGATGAAAGGGAATAGTAGTCATCACAATACACGTTTTCTTTATATAAAAAATGTCATATTTTACCTGATCGTGTCGTTCTTCTCGAGCTGGGCAATCTTCCTTGGGAGAACATATCTATATCCCCATTTTCTTGTTGTTTCTCCGGCACCGAGTGTAAAGCCGAATTGCTGTTCATGTTCTGCCCGGAGCCCGCATACCCTTGCTTGGCCCTCATCACTTCATGTTTTCCCATGGGAACGCTTATTTTTCGTTCCCTATGGGGACTTTTCAAATTCTGTACAGCCGCACTGGAAGCACTCCTGTTGAAACCCGACTCAGTTAGATCGCTTTGCTCCAAAAACGAATTGTTGTGGGGTATTTGGGGTAAGGACGTCATACTGTCCTCGCTGAGAATGAATTTTGTCTGTATGGGATCGGGATGTTCGTCCAGAGCACAGTCTTCCTCTTCTTTAACTTTCTTAAAATGTACTTCGACTGGGTCGTAGAACAAGGCTGCTACGAAAACGTTCAAGGTAATTCCTCCCATTATCAGAACGGCACCCCTGTATCCGTAGGTCTCTAACAAGACTCTCAATAAGGGTGGTAAAAGAATTGAGCCAAAAGCGGAGCCAGAGATGCAAATTCCATTTGCCACACCACGTAACTTTACGAAATAACTTGTGACTATGTAAACTGTGGGAGGGAAGGATAAGCCTGCTCCACAACCAACTAAAACTCCGTAAGTGCCGTAGAGGTACGGTAAAGAACTTGCCCAAAAACTAAGAATCATTCCTCCAGCTGCGAAAATCCCACCCAGAAATGTTACTGTCCTATATGAATACTTTACAGATAAAATACTTGAGATTGGACCTGAAATAAACAAGAAATACTTTTATTTTAGACAGTCCGATATAACACTAATTCATCACAATACACCCAAACACTTTTAACACTGGACGCGCGTTTCGCTAACTATGTTAGCGTCATCAGCAGATGATTAGTCGGTGTTAGAAAGTAAAGTGTTTTGGTGAATTGTGGTGAATTAGTATTTTATTTTGCTACTGCACCATCAAAGTTTTCAACTATTAACTGTAATATTAAATTTAGACCCTTTCTTAAATAACTATATAGTACCTATTTATTTTATTCAAATCTCGTATCTCGTACTATAGCCTAGACCTGATTGACTTCCAGCATTTCAAAATTATATTTTTCAACCTTAACAAGGTATGTGGGATAAAAAGAATGATCTTGTTAAGATAAATATGTTTATTTTAAAGGTTTATAAACATTTAACTTATACAAACATTACATATAAGTGTTGTCTTTTTAGGTAAACGTTTTACAAATTTACATATTCTTTCAAAATATTGACACAAAATATATATAGTCTTTAATATTTGACACAAACAACAATAATATTATATTACATTTGTTGCAGGTACAATTTAGCAGTAGTCTTAATTTCAATTCTCGTAAGAATGAATTAATTGTTTTTAATTATTATATAAACCTAACATTTTTATACCTAAAACACTTACGTATAATTAAGTGTTACTATTGTAAATGTCCAGCTTTTAATTAAAACAAATAAATTGCTTAATAAAAACAAAACACATCTATTACATCCTACATTTCTTAGAAATATATTCAACGCAGATACATACATTGACGCTAGTTTTGTTGTTTTCTTTGCAAAGTAATTGGGATAACATCATTTTTAGATTAGTTTTATAGCTGTATTTTGAGTACAGTTACTTTTTGTTTTTACTAGACCTGAAGATTACTGTATCTACGACATATCAAAAAACCAATGTAAACATTTCTTCTTTTTATTGTTACTTATTATTTTGAGTAGGGATTTTTTTCTCTTGAATAGCCTTTTCATAATAAGCGTTCTTACAAATTTTTCTTTCACAAAATCCGAATGACATAATATCGCCATACTCCATTTAAACTAAAAACAAATTACAGAAAAAAGCTTTAACTATTAAATAAGATTACATTTATTTATATTTTCTAGAAGACACTGAACAACACCAATGCTTACGTTTAGTTATTTGATTTCGCGAATAAATAGACGCACTGAACAGTTTCTTTAATGTTTATACATAATTAATTAAGTTAGTCGAATTATTCAGAGCTAACACTATGAGCACTTCCGCAACACACGAATGTTTGATATGAAATAAGAAAGATATGAGGCGGTAAAAAGTAATCAATAAAATCCCGGGAAAGCGAGGAGGTAATAGCGCCTTTGGTGGGGACAACTTTTTGAACATGCTCAAATGTACATAATTTTAATTACACAGGCCTGTGGAAGAAAAAAATATCTTTATAAAACTGTATCAGATATTTTTTGTAATAGAGTAATTTCATCAATCAGGTCAAACTACCTAGATTTTTCCATCCTTGAAGTATCTTTCTTACCTAAGGAACTGTATAAAAAATAGCAGAGGGCTGGAATCCACATGCCTTGGGAAGGAGTGGCTTCGAAGGCTTCTAAAAATTCGACAAACAGTACGCCGAAGGACTTGACCGTTCCAGGTACCAAAATATTAACCAGAGTGGCCCCAAAAAGGACCAGCCAACCCCAACCGCCGTCAGGTGGAACCAATTTCCACTTTGCCATCGCTTTTTCATTTCTTCGTCTATCTAATAAAACTACGCCTGAAACGAAGCAAAGAAAACCAGTTCTAAAAGAGATTTTGTATTTTTAAGGACTTCTACCTTTTTCCAATATTTATACACAGAATCTAGAAGATATTGTTATATTTAACTCACCAAAGTTATCATTGAAACTATTAAAAAATTTGATGGACTATCAAAAATTAAAAAAGAAAATAAATAGGGGGTAGGTTAGAAATTTTGCAATCACATGATTTATGTTATTGATTTCTTATTAAATCTGCGCGCATGATGATTATACATTTAAATTGTTACTTTCATATGAATAATTTAACCATCAGACAAAGTGATGATAAGAAATTATTATATATTAATATAATTTTGATATAACTATTAAGACATACCTGACCATATTCCTAGGCACAGGGGTCGTGTAAATTGAAAATGACAATGGCTTGTGGCAAGGCGAAAATTTTAAGAGGTCTTAATAAACTCAAAACTAATTAACGTATTAGTGATTATTATATATAGATAGATTGAAAATTATAGCATATGTAACAAGCAAGACATTTTTATTTATATTATTTTTTATACAGTATATCCCAAAACAATACAGAGTATCCCAAAAAAATAGACTCTCAAGGATTTCGTTTAACTAGAACTTTCTTAAAGTTCGAAAAAAAATAATACAAAAAATATATTGATATAATTATTATATTATATTTTTTGGAATATCCAAACCAAACCAAACCAAAAACAAAATAATAGTTCCAAATAAATAGAGGTAATTTTTATACAGTTTGTACAGAGCATCTCAAACAAAATTATAGTCCCAAACATGTCTCAAAAATTTTATTTAAATATAACTTTTCTAAACTCGAAAAAATTGAATTGATAAATAATTTATTTTGATACAATTATTACATATTTTTTTGTAGAGAAATATATATATATATAGAAAAATTTTTGTAAATGAAAAAAAATATAGAAGATATCTTAATAATCTCAGAACTCATTAGCATATAAGTGATTATTAACGGCTAGTTAGAGTAAAACTTGAGTAGAACATTATTTGTAACAAGCTTGACATTGTAATTTTTACTTTTACTTAATCCTAAATTGATAATGGTCTCTATTCTTCGTGAGGTCTATGTCAATCAGGGCAAATCAGGGTTAAATGTCTGTTTTGCTGGTTTCTAAATATAAATTTAGCTCCACCGACCTGTCACCAGGTTCCTGGGGTTGCTACTGGAAACTCGCCCACTTTATTCAGTGGAATGTCATTTGCGTTTTTTTTTATCAAAAGGCTATCATTAGCAAGTAACAGAAGAAGAGTAAAATTGAAATAAATTGTATAATAACATGTGATATTTAGAAGAGCGCTCGGCTCCTGCAAACTATTTAGGAGCAAATTTTGGTAAATAGCGCTAAATAATCGCAAATAAACGAAATGTATTTTTTTTATTTGCGGCTTTAATTGATAAAGAAACATATAACGTCATGGCGTATTTAATTATGCATATAAAATATAAACACGTCCAGCTAACCATTGGCGTACTATCGAAAAATGACTCGGACTTGATACGACAATATACGGGAGCTTACATCAATAAAATACAATGAAGTTATATAATAATGTAACATCTGTCTGTGTTGAAAATGTTGAGACGAGTCAATATTTGCTTTTGTATTTCTACTTTTCAAATCAGTAAATACATAACTGTAAAAATGGGAACGATCGCTTTATACAGGGTATTTTTTTAATCTCTTGAGATAATTAAGTTTATTAGGAAACGCGCTATTTAAAAGACATTTACTACAAATGCGGGTGCAAGGAGTAATGTAATAGTTTAAATGCCACTGGTTAAATAGAATTTAAAAAACAATAATAAATGTAGCTATTAACATTATTTACGCAATTTTCAGGAATAGAAACAATAATGTTCATTATGTATGTAAAAAATAATGAGGCATTGCAAAAATTATCGTTTTATTTATTCAGGCATTAGCAGCAGATGTAGCCGCATATTAATTATAATAATTTCAATCATTTTAGTACATACGTAAGCCGACAAACAATGAATTACCAAGAATTATATATTTATATTTAAATGCAAATACTCTGTTGTATGGTAAATGATAAAAATATTATCTTTCATCGAGTATTGTGTTAAAATTGTTGAAACCTACAAGGAAGTTTTTAGCCGTTGCCGTTGGGAGAATTAAAATGAACAATACAATCTTTTCATTTATTATATCTATATCTGATAGATTTAGAAAAAAAAACATCACGTGTTTAGTTATTGAGAGATTCCACAAGTGTTGAACAAAACTACAAATTAAACAAATATTTTTTCTCCCTGTCCATTTCGCTAAATAACAGTATTTTATGTGATAATGAAGCTAATGAGTTCATTTATTATTATATTTTAATTTTACAGAGACGTACGAAAAAAGAGTAATACAAAAATTTATAAAATATATATATTTATATACTCACTCTTATTCCTTACTATATCAGTCGGTTTCTGTTCTTTGGCTTGTTGACCATCCTGGCTTTTTTGTAAATTGATTGATTTGACTGGTTTGGCGAGAAGAGGTTCGCCAGCCCCATTCTGGGCTGTTTTGGTGTCACTATTCATTTTCAGTTAACGGAAAAATCGAGGAAAGCAACGCGAAAACCGATACAGGCAAAACAACAACAGAAATACACATCACACGTGAAGTTCAACAAAGAGTAAAGAACCCAACAGCTGATTCTGTGTCTATTGTGTGTTGTAAAATATTTTTTGTCGTTTAAAGAGCGTTGTTGCCTTTTGTGGACGCCAGTTGGACGAGGTAGCGGTTTGAAATCGATTTTTAACTGGAATTCGAACGACGGTACTACAGAAACAGAATTATATGTATCTGAATTCGAACGAATTTTGTTTGATAGGGAAAAGAAAAACAGTCTGTCTGCTAGAACCAGATAAAACTACCGATTGTGCACCATAAACACTTCGAAGGCCATCGGTACCGTTGCGTTAAAAATCATTGAGCGCAAACGATCAAATCACTAGTGATACAACAGTCGATTTGTTTTTAATTGCTTTTATTTTTCTCAGCCGAACTTAGACGCGAACCAATTAATACTTAACCAAATCTGCCATCCCAACTCTTACAATATTTTGCCATTGCAAATAATTGCGTTAAATTCCATTCGCAGTTTTTAAAATCAAACAAATTAATGGTCTTTCCATGGCGAATTCAGATTGGAACTAAACAAGGAGCGACAAAAGATATATTGTCGGATATTTTGCAAGCTTTTTTAATAGATTATAGATAACGATTGTCGCTAAATTCTTTTCTAGTCTTATTTATGGCGTTCAAAAATGAAAAAATTATTGCATGATAATATATTTGATTGCATGGTTCTGTCACATTATGCAACCAAAATAACGCGGTTTCAATGCCCGGGCGTTTAAAAGGATATTCTACAATACATTTTAAGATACGGGACTTTCTTCTAAACTATGTGCAAAAATATTTTTTCATAACTATCCAGTATTATCAATAATAGTACCGTATGATCGAAAAAAACTGCGTCCAGTTGGCTTGAAAATGACGCGATCGATGACATTCCTCATATAATTTTACATACAAAATGACAGCGATCTTCATTCCATAGCCATCGCTGACGCCGTTTTTTTTTCGATCATATTGTATAATCTGCGTTAGAAAAAATAAAACAAGGATATCACTAAAATTCCAGCTATGCAAAAACAGTTTTTATTAGAGTAGTCCGAAAAACAAATAGCAATATATAGTGAGCACATATTTATATCACCCTACATACCATTTAACCTCAAGAAACATCATTTCCTTACAAATTTAATTGAAAACGATAGAATTAAAGTTATATATCATTTTTTATCAGTCTAACTTTAAATCTTTGTCTCAAGTAAGAGAGTATATAAAAATATTTGTATTTTTTCATTTCAGAAGTATAACATCAGATAAAATAAACGATTCATTAATAATAACAGTAAACTTTTGTAAAATAACCCCTTTGTATAATTTATGGTTTAAAAAGAGCAAATAATTGATGCCATTTAAAGGAAATATTGAGCACAATAAAAACTTTGGCAACATCAAAAAAAATATACTATATGATTGAGAATAAACAATCATAAAAGTTAAGCTCATCAAAATGTGGCTTTTCAAGGCCATTTTTTTCTCAATCATACACTATATATGTATGTACAAAATAAATATTTTTTTAATTATGCTTTAATCATTTTTTCTGACACTTCGCGTTTTCCAAGATACCAGAAGGCTGTAGCTGAAGTACATTGAAAAGGAATGAACTTGTAGAGCCAGCAAAATAAAGGAATACAATAACAGCCCATAAGGATAAGTCTGAAAAGATAAAAAAAATGTAAAGTTAAATAGAAAAATAGGGTAAACTGTTCTTTCTTCATATTATCCTTGATATTATATAAGAAAGATAAATTTAATGTGAATAGAATTTCTTGAAAACTGACCTTCCAAAATACAATATCTAATATTTCCGCATAATCTTCAGAAAACAGGAATGTGTAGACTTCACCAAACCACAAAATAATGCAATAGAGCAACGGCAAATAGCCAAATAAAATAATGCCATATATGTAACATTTCAGGGAATTAATTTTATTTCTTTTGATTGCCTCTAATAAAAAATATGACAAGGCAAAACTGGACAGCCAAATCCATTCCCATAGATATGGCTAAAATAAATCAAATTAAGATTTCAATATTTGAAATGTTTTTAACTTACTTCAGGAACTTCCAGTTCTTCGATTTCTAATATAAAAATGCTAAAATAATCTAAAATTGAAGGGGCCAACTTAGCCAGCATTACCATGAATAAAATGTAATGGAAAAGAATACAATACCATAGTCTTTTCTTCTCTAGAGAACTAAAAAAAATTGGCTTTTGTAATAAGTCTCACTATTTACAACTACTCTACGAAGGAAAAGTTTTGGCATCTATTCAAATATCATATAAAATTTTAAATAAAAAGTGTACCTTCTTGAATAACGCTGAGCTACTCGTTGTCGAAACATATGATCATGGCCATCCATATTCGCCTCTTTTTAATTTTACCCTCTTTTTTAATTTTCTTCAGCAAACTAATAATAAACTCAGCTCAAAGTTATCCCAGATTTGTACTATCAGCTTATTTAACAGCAAAGAGCCAATTACTATGAAACGTACTTTCGAAATTGGCACTAAAATATACTACAGACCCATTATATAATTATTTAAATAAATTAAGGAAATTAATAAAATAAAAACAATTTTTCCAGATTTTCTACACCAACTGGCAAAGCACACCACTAGTCCTTTTAAATGTCAAAATGTTAGGTTACATTTAGTGCCTTTTGTATTTATTTTTATTTGACATTCGGATAGGGTACTGTAAATTACTTATTTCTACTTGATGATCGAAAACATTAAGTTTTGGATATTAACCACTAGATGTTTCTTACATGTATTTAATTTTAATTTTATTTTTGGGGTATAGATTATTTATTTCTCTTTAGAGTCATTGATATTTACTAGAGATATTTATAAATAATATCTGTCAACTGTCATTGCTATTGATTCTATGGCTATTGTCTTTGGCTTTTGCTATCAATAATTTTTATGGCTTTTGTTGTCATTTGAGTCTGTGATTTGAGTTATTTGTTAGAAATAACTGTTTTTTTGTTTTTGTCTCTTCTGTGTTACGTTTTTTAAAGAATAAATATCAAACCAAACCAGAATATTATTTAACTTTGATATTATTTTTCTATATTAACATTATGGGAGATATGGCTGGTAGTGTTAGAGAGATTGTGGATAATGTGGGACTAGCTCGGGAGATGACCATGGTAGGCAATTATGAAAATGCAGAGGTTTATTATCAAGGATCCTTGCAGCTTATGTCTAGATTTATATTAAACATAAGTGACCCCATTAGGAAAACCAAGTGGCAACAGGTACTAAGTAGCTCTGAATACGTTAATGGATAACATTAATAATGGTAAAAAATACTTACACTAGGTCCAGAAGAAAGTCGGCATCGAATATCAAGAGGTAAAAGAATTAAAAGCTTTACTTGAAACCTTTAAACTTGAATGTAATACAGATGTGCCCATTGGTGTTAGAAGGCGTGATAATATTCCATTGGACACAGGTTCAGAGAGTACATATGGTATTACTGACCCTGATGTATGGCCACCACCGACTCCAGTTGATCATGGTATTTTGGCAAGGTATTGTTGTGTAATTTTTCATATTTTTTAACATTTAAGTTTGTTTTTATATAACCCTTTAATAGATCAAATGCCCTAAAAACTAAACCTATAAATTCACGAAGATCAGAAGGAGGAAAAAAAACTCAGCCCTCGAGAGTTAGCTCATCATCTACAACTAGAAGGTCAGACATTGGTAAAATTACAAGTAGGATCACCAAGAAGGAGGATAGACCTTCAAGTTCAAAGTCAGAAAGGTACTGTTTTATATTTAAATAATTTCAACAATTTTCCTACTTTAAATGTGCTTAAATAGAAATGTTGATGCTGTCAAGGAGAGACAAGATTCTGAATCAACAGATAAAGTTGGTGACAAAATTGAGGAGCAGGAAGAAAAAAAGTTTGAGTGTAATGGCATGGAAAGAGAGTTGGCCGATGTTTTAGAAAGAGATATAGTACAAAAGAACCCAAATATAAGATGGGATGATATAGCTGATCTTCATGAAGCCAAGAGGTTACTTGAGGAAGCTGTTGTCTTACCTATGTTAATGCCAGAATTTTTTACAGGTATATTTGTTATCTCAAATCTTTATAGTTCCACTGAAAAGTACTTTCTTAGGTATTAGGCGACCTTGGAAAGGAGTATTAATGGTGGGACCACCAGGAACTGGTAAAACAATGTTAGCAAAAGCAGTAGCCACTGAATGTGGTACCACATTCTTTAATGTATCCTCATCAACTTTAACTTCTAAATATAGAGGTGAATCTGAAAAAATGGTCAGGTTGCTATTTGAAATGGTATGAAGAGGAACATTTAATAGTAGCTTTTGTAATTATATACTAATATGGTTTTAGGCAAGATTTTATGCTCCTAGCACAATATTTATAGATGAGATAGATTCACTGTGCTCAAGGAGAGGTTCTGAATCAGAACATGAAGCTTCAAGAAGAGTGAAATCAGAACTCCTGGTACAAATGGATGGTATAACAGTAAATAATGATGAACCAGGAAAAATAGTAATGGTTTTAGCTGCCACAAACTTTCCATGGGACATTGATGAAGCACTAAGAAGAAGACTTGAAAAAAGAATTTATATACCTTTACCCACGTTAGATGGTAGAGAAGCTTTGCTAAAGATTAATCTTAGGGAAGTGAAGTTGGATCCAGATGTCAATTTAAAAAGTATTGCTAGGAAGCTGAGTGGATATTCAGGTGCGGATGTTACAAATGTATGCCGAGATGCATCCATGATGTCAATGAGGAGGAAAATTTGTGGTCTTAGACCTGATCAAATAAAACAGCTCCCTAAAGAAGAATTAGATTTACCAGTTACAACAAGGGATTTTGAAGAAGCCATTGTCAAAAATAACAAGAGTGTTTCTAAAGAAGATTTGGACAAATATGAAAAGTGGATGAATGAGTTTGGTTCTTCTTGATAGTATCGTTAATAATTTTTATCTTTATCTTCATTTACAACAATTGAAAAATATACTCTATTTACTAATTAGAGCTGTAATATTTTTACACAATAGATCTGTAAGGTCGCGGTGATTAACTCCTCTCCTAATATATCATGTGCTTAATTTTTTAATTTGTTAGTAAAGCCAAAATTTTAGAAGCCACAAATTCAAGTTATAAAAGTTCAGATTTTCACAGGCTCAAATGTTTAGCAGATGGTTATAATATGTGCCTTTTATCAATTTTTAATAGAATTTCTCTATTGGCAATTAGTTATGGTAGTGAAGTTAACGTAAGTGTTATTTTGAATTTTGTTAAGTACCTAATACCGATATTTTATTTATTATATATTTTGAATTTTGTTAAGTACCTAATACCGATATTTTATTTATTATATTAATTAAAAACAATATTTTGTACACTAATCTTACTGATAAAATAAATAACGTTTTGAATACTGTTTGTTTTATTCATGCCAATTTTTTAATTGGCTTCTTCCAGCATCAAATATGTATATAAAAATGTATATTTTTTAAATAACCTGAATTTTTTAAGTATAATATGAAATATTTTTAGTTTAAGCTTCCATATATTTGTTATTCTTTCGATTTTAATATATTATATCTTATACCGTATGATCGAAAAAAACCGGCGTCAGCGATGGCTGTGAAATGAAGATCGTTGTCATTTTATATGGGAAATATATAAAATGACAACGATGGGCCCCTCATTAATCGTCATTTTCCAGCCAACTGGACGCCGTTTTTTTTTCGATCATACGGTATATCTATGTGATTAAAATAACAGCTTTGACGTAAAGAGATTTGAATAAATTGATTTGTTTTATTTTATACACGTGCCTCTATTCTAACATTTAAAATTGAAGTAATTTCGCGCGATGTTGAACAGTTGTCAAAGTTGTCAGCATTTTACCGCTGTGTCCGCTAGGCTGAGTCTCTCTCTGTAAGAAAAGTGCTTGTTGAGGGAAAAGTAGTTCCGCAGTTTTTGAAAGTGTTTCCTTGGCAAAAGTGAAAAATATTAACTTTTTTTGTCTTAGAAAGGTGCAGCAGGGTTACTTTTATCGTTCAGGGTAATTATCGTTTGTGTAGGACCAGCAGTATTGAAGTAATTCAACGACAAAACGATGGCGTAGGAAACGGACTTTTACCCATAACCGCTATAACCTCCATTCGTGTTATTGAAGTAGATACTGAATTAAGTTGTATGTCAGATGTGACCATCATTTTGGAATATACGAAAAGTGTCGTTGTGATAGATTTTTATGATGTTATGAAGTGATTTGGTGACTTTGACGATAATTTTAGTATGTGTTTACAAAGACCAGGGTGCGAAACGGTCTCCCAAAATGAAGGAAAGCATCCGTTGTTGACTATAACGGCGGGGTGTTGGCAACGATTATACAAAGGCTAAAAAGACCGGCAGTGAAACCTCGCCATAGAAATGAGTCAATATCGACAGGATGGAGGCGGCGGGTCGTCGGTGCCCGGCGCCGCCGCTCAGGGCTCCTCCACTGCCGGCACGGGCCCAAACGGGTCTTCGGAAGGCGAGTCCGAGCCAACGGCGGGCCCTGGCTCAGCGGCACTACCGCCAGACTCGAATGCTTACTCGACGGAGGGGCCAACAGCGGGGCCACCGTCTGACGGGCATGGTTACGCATTTCCCTACGGATCGGCGGGACCGGATCACGCGTTCGGGCCGCGGCAGTCCTTCGGGGGGCCCAAGCAGCTGCCACCGCCGCACCGTTTCGTGCCGGGTCCGATGTCACAGCCCTCGGGCCCCACGCCGACGCTCAACCAGCTGTTGCAAAGTAATAATCCTGTGCCGCTTCGCTACCAGAACAACTACGCTCACTCGGACCAGCACTACAACCAGTGGTCACAAAAGCACCCTCAGGGCTACGGACCAGCTCCGCCACCGGGGCCCTACAGGACGCAGCAAACTGTAAGTTGCCGCCTTTTTTCTTTTGTTAGTGTGGAATGTTGTGCCCCATCAGGGACCAGTGTCACTGCTCTTTGCTTATTAAATTTCCATTAGCTGTATTTGCTGCATGATTTCTTAAAAACTAGCTTCTAATGGTGAGCGAAACACGTCTATTTCCTAATATTTATTAAACTTGGCAGGAGATGAGCACGTGAGATAAAAGAGCAGGGACGTAGGCCTGAAAAAAATGTTTCCAAATCCCTTTGGTCATGCAACTAATGACCTTGAACTTGCTTTAATATACGATTACATTCCTCCCACTTTGTTATTATACAGTCAGCTGACGTGTCGCAATCGTTGGATCCTTCCGCATTTTCATACACCTACTCGTATTTATTTCTGGTGACAAATTTCCATTTTTCAAATTTGGCCTACGAGATTTTTCCTTCTAAACGCAAATCTAAGACCACGCGACGCTTTCTTGCTCCGCTTAAAATTAAAAAAACGTTTTCTTTTTAATTCTTTTCGGAAACGTGACGAATTTAACCGAAAAATGCATAAAAATGTATGCACTAAATAGATATATTATCGAATAATGAAGTAGTATTTGAGTTATTTATACCAATCAAAATAAACGTAAAAATGTATTTTTACTCGAAGGTCATTCAATAAATCATTTTTTATGAGAAATTAGTAAACACAATTTTTATGATCAGCTGTGAAGGTAAATAATTAAATGAAATACTTTTATTAAACTGTATATGTATACAACTGCAACCAAAGATGTTTTTTATGTTACGTTTTGTTAGGGTTGGCAGCTTTCAGACTAAAAAATAAGAGGATGAGAGGGGAAAATCCTCCCAAATGTTGTCAAGAATTTACCCAAAAGAAATTTAAATGTTATGCCTTTGTTGGTCTTTCTTACTTATAAATATTTATAGTCAAAACTTGTTAAAATAGAACCAGCGATTTTCTACAAAATTTTATTCCAAAAAATAATTAAACATAAAAAAACTAACAGGAAAGACACATTGTTGCCTGTCCAAACATTTTATGATTTTGAGTTTGGTGTGTAAAAAAGGGGACTTTTTCTATACATGAGAGACAAGAGGACAGTACGATCAAAAAGAATACTGTCCTCTGGACTAGAGGACGGTTTGCAACCCAACGTTTTGCTTACCTTACAGGTATTTCTTTAGAGCAAAATTATCTATGTATATGGAAGAAAAAAAGAAATACATTTTTCCACATCCTTATACGTATTATTTACGTAAACTATTTTAATTATAAATGCTACTTTATTTTATGTGTTTGGGAATATCGCCATTAAAACATTAAACGCTTAAAAAGAAAAATATTTTTTCTTTAAACTTCCCTAAAGCCGGTCCTACACGATACTTCCAACGTTGGAAGCATCGGCCATCAAAACCAACATTTGGCAGAGTTTTCGACAATGTTATACAATACACGTATTTGGCAATTGCGTCTCCCACACGATATGGCAAATGTCCGTGTGTCCAACGTTGGAAGGCGTTTGCCACATCGTGTGGAACCGGCTTAACAAGAATTATTCTTTAAATGTTTACAGGGAATTATTAAAGTAACATATTAAGAGTGGTCACTATCACTCATTTTAAGAAAATCTAGCGTCTTCAAATATAGGATTTATATTTTTCATTACGCGAATTTAGAAAAAGTCAAGGGGTTGAAAGGTAAATGGTTAAACACTAGTCTTTCAGAGATCTCAGCATTCGTTTTTTTACTATTTAAAACTAATTACAGATGTTCTGACTTCTAAAAGTCTCTTCTATGGTTATAGGTAGATTATTAGAATGAATAAAACATACCAGATGTATCGAATAAATTGGTCGTTAAGGCTAATATTGGTGGAGTGCAGTTTTTCGTCAATATGGATCATCCGCCACATCTCCTTTGTTTCAGTTGTCACCTGCGTACGGCTCGGCTCCAAGTCCAGGAGGCTACGATTCCAGGGCGACTTGGCCTGGGGGTCCTCCACCTTCTGGACTGTCTCCGCACGGGCCTAGCAGTCCGGGACAAGGCCAGGCGCCCCAGCAACAACAATCTCAGCCCCCAAACCAACAATCTTCTGCGCAAAGCCAGCAGAACTCCTCTGGGCCTGTGCCCGTTAGTCAACCTTCTCCGCAACCCTCTCAACCACCTGTGAGCCATTCGCCAGGTCCAGGACCTGGGCCAGGACAGATGCCTCCTGGTCAGCACCAACAGCAACACCAAGGACCTGGGGCACACCAGCAGGGGTTTCCCAGTCGACCACCGCCACCTACAACACCCAATGCGCACGCACCCGATGCTGCAGTAAGTTTTTTTTTTCAAAAATTTTACTGAAATGCCTCTTTTTATATAAAAACTTATATCTACAAGTGTTTCTTTTAGCATTACCACCAGAGGTGTGTAGCATAGCATACACACGCATACTGAGTATGATGTGGTTTGTCGATGCGATTTGTTGTATCGTTTGGAAATTCGTACATTTTGTTCGTGAGATTTGTTTTGATGGTTCGCCCAAAAGCCGACATTCCCCCGCACAAACCATCGGATCGATGCGTTAGCGCTCTAAATCAACGCATTGACGGACCGCATCGACATATTATAGTGTGTACGGGGCTTAACTGTAATTTATTTTTCTCCGTCCTATAGTCGGTAAAATATTTTTCTTTCATTTTTGCTTCCTTTCTTAAATGTGTGTTTACAGGTGTAGTCAACTGATCAAGTCACTCGAATTCATTTCAAGTGACTTGATCAGTTGAATTTACAAATCAAGTCAATTACATCCCCCCTGATTTTTTTTCTCATCTCGGATCTCCTAACTATAGCTTAGGTCTTAAATTACGTGTAAGTAATCCACTTTTGGATTTATATTCTTTTACGTCTAGTTATTTTAGGCAATAAGCCTTGTGTCAATTCTATTGTCAATATTTTGACAGTTTGAAGTACAGCCTTACGCACTGTTGCTTTTTTGAATCAACTAGCAGAAGCTTTTTGATATGAAATGTGTAAACTCGGAATATGCTTTCAACCCTGTTGAATTCCTGTAACTTGATCACTTCACTTGACTCGTAAAAACGCACCTTGGTTAGTTCTTGGTATATCATTTTATGGTTTATCTGCAACCTATGATTTATCAATTTGTTTTGGTCGAATCAGAAAAATAAGGTTGAAAATCCCCATACTCACTATGCGCTGATTATCGTTCGTCGCGCGGTTTGTCGATGCGATTCCTTACTTCGTTTGGAAATTCGTCCATTGTATTCGTAATATTTCTTTTGACGGTTCGCTCAAAAACCGACAACTCTACCAGCGCATAGTGGGTATGGGGCTTTAGAAATATACTGTCCAAACAATTATAAGGAAACTTATTTTTACCAGCTGACCAAATGAGTGGTATAATATTTCTTTAGTCTGTCTAGTTTATTTAAATATACAGGGTGTATTATAAATATGCTATAAATTAATTCTGCTTATCAATTTTGAATTCTATTTCTTTAAGTTTTATTTATGGCTGTTTTATTTTAATAAATCATGCCTGTGATATAGTATTGTACGAAAGTACAATAAAATAAGTTTAGTTTCCAAACACTTTAAAATATTTACTGCTGCGTTTTTCATGATGATCAGCCAGAGAGAGCAATTAACTTTGGGTAAATTAGATAAAATATGAACATAGTTACGTAACGCAATACAGGCTGACGTGCAATTAAATTAAACGATCTTGACCTTTGGTAACACTCGGGCAGATTGGTTAGACAGCACGTGTATTGTTGTGGATTTGATATGTGGGAGTGGGTTGGGGGCGCAAAAGGACAGGACAAGAAGTTCCTCGCTTAGTTGACAGTTTATTACGTAGACATGCATTTGCCAATTCTGTTTTTTCTTTGGACCGTCGATATTTCAGAAAATTTTCATCATACTGCTCACCATTTTTAGGGGTTAAGTTATACGGAGGTAGTTAAAGAATTTATCGTTAATTTTCGCAGTTAAATAAATCTTATTTAATTATCTTCGAGTATTAAATATAGAAAGAGAATTTTCTATTTAATTTGGTTGCTTTTTTAATGACGAGCCTGTATTTAATTATTGCATAAAGCACAACGAAATTCCTTTTGTATTATCCAAAAAACGTATCAAAGCCTCCTGAGGTGAAGCTCGGAAAATAGTGGACTCACTGGTGCAGGTTGTATGTCCATTCTCCCTTCCTACTTGCATGTCTCATTTACAATATGATCGAAAAAAAAACTGCATCAGCGATGGCTATGAAATGAAGATCGCTGTCATTTTATAGGAAAAATTAGATGGGGAACGACATCGATCGTCATTTCCAAGCCAACTCGGCGCCGTTTTTTTCGATCATACGGTATAATGTATCTAATGTTTAGCAGTTTTCTGACATGTTTCTCTAAAACTCCAAAAATTGAGAGTTCAAAAACCCTTTATATCGATTTTATTCTATAGAGGAACTGTCAGTTTTGGTTTAAACAATTTTGTCGTCAAAAAGCCGTAAATTTTTCGCCTTATCTCTCAGTATTTGTTTAATATGCAGCGTTCTCGACTTATCAATTTAACTAGGCTTAAAATATCCGTCTCTTTATCTTATTTCAAGTAACCTTTCATGAGTATTTTATCCTCTTCCAGTTCTAGTGTGCATTAATTAATTAATTTTAATTTAATTGCATAGGAGATACACATATTTATTTATTTCACTTATTTATGTATGTTCTCAGCTTTTTCGTTGGTTAATTCATTCCGAAATAATAACATCTCTATGTTTTGTCTTATTCATAGACCACCCATTCTAAGCGCTTGTTAAATCGACTTTTTGCAGGGATGTTTCAATTTATTTGATGCTCAATGTGAAAATATTTTGCTGGGAGTTTTTGCAATTCGCAAAATCTAAAGCGAACTTTTTAATCCATTAAATTTAAATTTTGTAGACTTATTTGTGCTTGGAAATTTGAGATTGGCTTGATGGAGATTTAAAAAGGAATGTTTTGGAGCGCTGGGTAGTTCGTCGAGTCGGTGTTTCAGTAAAATAAATTCACTGTAAAATTTTTAGAAAGTTGGCTGGGCATGTTCTTCGACAACAACGCAATAATATACCATCGGTTCCTTATGGCGAGCGGAATATAGCCAGCTAGGCCGTCGTGCCACGTTGCCGATTCTAACCAAGTCTACCGACACTAGTCCGTTATTGATTGGAGAAGGGTGATGTGGCAACGCAGTTATACAGTACGCTGCACCGTATTTTGCCATGGCTTACGTACCCGGCAAAACACGTGGGGATTTATTATCTTATACAGAGTGTCCCAGTCTATTTTGAAAAACGCTATTTAAATTCAATTAGTGCCTACTTTTATTCTCTTCTCTCTATTTAGCCAGCGGTAAAAGTTCTACTCTGTGTACTACCTACGATTTGTGGTTTTAGGACGATACAGCGTGGCCAAAATGTCTTAATCGTGCTCGATAGTATCTCTTTAAATGTATTCGTATATCCTTTAATACACATAATGGTTAATTCTATAAATGTGGTCATACCATAATATTTTGTAATATAGTTGATTAGTATTTTAGTTAATAATTATTTATAGTTTGGTAAATGTTTCAATCATATATGTGACAACTTTGTAGATAACGTTATTTCTGTTAGCTTATTTCTGGAATGAGTCGACTGTCTTCTATGTATAGTTAACGCTACGAGTTTCAAGTGATGAGCCCAAAATTCTCAGAAAGTCTTTTGCATTTTTATTGTACATATTCATAGTTTAGGATATCTGGATTTAGGCTGTCTTTCTTTACTTTATTAATATGTTTTGAGAAGTATTTTAAATAATTTTTAATATAATGTAAAATTGACGGTTTTAGTTGCTCAGAACTAAAGGGAAACATTTAGCTTTTCGACAACCGCGCTTGGAATCGAGGCTCGGTTCTAATGTTGTTTTCGTTTCTACGTTGCCACATCTTTCAAGTTATTCCGCACTGTTGCCAAAGGCCGATCGGAAAACGCGTTGAGGTCATGTTTGCGTCCGGCGAAGTCATTTGTCGTAGAATTTTTTCAGCATTTAGTTCAATAGAAAATCGATTTTTTATTGATGAAGATATTCTCTTTCTTTCGAAAGTCGTTACAAATCGTTCTAAGAAACTAGACAACGCTGGAAGATAAACATGGTATGTCTGCCATTTCACAATTTGCCAATCACTTAAGCGGTACTTGGTTTCTCGGCAAATATAATACCTCCTATGTTGGAGATATGTGTAGGCTGTGTGGCCAGCTTTTTCAGCTGTCGCAGTCGACATTTAGCACTTATTCAGCGGGCTTTTAACGTTTAAAAATATTTCAAAATTGCTTGTTTACACTAGCTGCATGACAATATGTCATTAAGATCTGAATAGCATAGGAATTACCTTTTAATGAAGTACTGGATTCTATAGTTTACTATTTATTGTACAATTTACTTAAAATTACTTGTAGATATACTAATTTTCGATATTAATTTTGTGTTAAGTGATGTAATAAAATTTGTCTTTGACAACCTTATTATGGTTTATGGTCCCTATTAAAATCTAAATTCAATCCCCGACTTGTTCGATACTATGAAACCTATTAATCCTTAATTGTTTTTGTGAATGGTGTTTGTTGACAATTGCTGCCATTATTCGTTCTCTGATAAAAGTTATAATATTGCCAACGTATATGAATTTTCAGGATAATAAATAGAAATATGAGTTCAGGGCTAAAAGAATTGACGTTCAGTTAGTTCCACTCTGAGCCATGACAAAATAGCTGTTATGATATTACTCTAGTGATCAGTTCTGTATGTTTCAAGAGAAATGAAAAAATATCTCAGACGAAAGGTACCGGCTTTAAAATTTTATTTTTAATGAAAATAACGCTGCTACTGTCCTTAGAGATAAGTTTTTGAATATTTTACAAATAATAATCGTAAATTCGCCCCTGCTTATCGTTTTGGGGGTTAAATTTAATAAGGGCTGAGCTGAAGAGAATTAGTCTGGCAAAAATGTGTGCCCTAAGCGTTTGTGTATGTGTGCCAGTATTGAAAAGGGTCGTCCCTTTAAATTAAAAATAATAATGGGATATGATACTCGATAGGGAGATCTGATAGATTTTTCGTGTTTTTTTTTTCGAAGGGTGTACCCTAGAATTTGTTGTTTTACTTCTCTTTGATTAATTAATTTGTTTTTTCTTCACGTTACGCTTTTATCATTTAAAACATAAAAGCAATTTTCTTTTAACTGATTCGTTTTACATAAAAATAATTCAACATATTATAATTACTTAATGAGGTAAAACCAAAAAGATCCAAACTTTCTGTATATGATTAGTTTTAGTTAGTGTTTATTAAAATCATAGAAGCGATAGATATTATATTAGATTGGATTAAAAAAACCTCTTTCATTTTTCTTTTAGATGCTATCCGTTCTTTCATCATAATTTTTGCCTTGGTAAAATCTACTCTGTGTCCTGTGTCCCATGAATGCTGACAAATCAATGGCGCGCTCAGACGATACCTGTACTTGACAAAAATTATTTGTTACAGGGTATATTAATAGGATCTACGCCGCACTTTCGCCGGACCCTGTATGTCAATAAAAACGTTTGTCGAGAAACGTTTGTACAGGAGTACAATATTGTTTTTTTTAATGTTTTTGTATATTGTATATCGTATATTATATACATTTTACTTTCGTTTTAAATTATAGATGGAGTATTCTTCCTTAAAAATAGGTTATTAAAAACAAGGACTTTTATAAGGATTCACTTTGATCTTTTTAAATTCTTTTCTAAAAATAAAAGAAAATACCGACGGAGTTTATTTTATAAAAGACGGTCCCGCAAGGTCTTAAGTTGGCAGAGAGATATTTCTTTTCGAAAGCGAAAGTTGAGGTAAAAGCGATTATATAACTGGGAAATGTTTGAGGAATATTTTTGCAGTTTTCTTCGGGCATGTTCCTTTTATTTTTGGCGAAAATAAGAAAAAAGTATTTTCTCGCAAAATATTCATATATGTACGTCTGCATAGTATATGGGATGCGGTAGGTCATGAATACATAATAAAAATATTTGACTTCCTAATATTTATGTGTTGTTATTGGGGTTATTGGTATATATCCAATGTTTAATGTCTATTTTTATATACTTCGAAATTTCTAAGGTCAGTGAACGAATTTCTAAATAAAATAATAAAAAAATACTACTAATAGTTCTATTTTTAGATTAGTGTTATCAGAGCAAATCAACAAGTATTGTTTAATCTATTCATTCAGCTTATTTGTTTATTGTTATTAATATGTAAATCGCGTTATATACCGAAAAAGTAACGCACAGTTATTTATTTATTGATTTATTTATATATCCTGTAACTCGACAAATTTTATTGAAACTGACATGCTGCATTTATTATCCCCAAGGTGAAATATTTGGCCTTGGCACATATACATATACCACTATATATATTTTCTTCTTCCTAACTTGCAAGTCTTTGCTTTACCATTTAAGATTCTGTGTTCTATCTGGAAATATATCCAGTTTAGTGAGTAGTTTACGTCTCAATATTATCCTTTATAGAGCAGAACCATTTTAGAAATCATTACTCATTTTATGACCTATGAAGTAGAGTTTATGTTTGGTACAAATCGATATAATAAAGGCAGTTTTATCAGTTTACTGAATTTTATAGCCTGTTCATTTATTATTCTCTTGTTATGAGGATAATCAACAGGTCTCGTCAACGGCGAATGTAAAAGGTGTGGGATAAATACGGGGTCGTTCAAAAGTATTCTATGAAAATGGTGTGTAGTATTTTATTCGCCTATGGTGCTGTATTTTTAGACCTATGTTGTAAAAACGTTTCATTTCTCTATAAGCGTAAAAAAACTGCGAAATGTTCATTCACTATTCTACAAAATAAAACATTTCGGCCAGAAGCTGTTATATAAATAAATCCAAACAGGTGGCTTTTGCTCTGCACATTATGTAAAATATAACCCCATAAATGATTTGTTTTCTCGTTGCTCTTCCCCAAAATGAACATCATCCATAATATAAAGAAGTCAGATAAAACTAGGGGCTTTTCTAATTTAGGCGATTTTAGAAATAAAATGGTCTCCATCTTTCAGTAAGAAAAGCTTTGTTAGACAGTGTACCAATGTAGTTAGTTGCTCAGACTAGCCGCTGTATAAATTTATATTGTGGTAGGTCGAAATATCGTCCTTAAATTATCTGTGGATGGGCCCCATTGTATAATAAAGCGAACCTTTTGAATGAAAGGGAGAAAAGATCAATGGGAGCTCTTTAATGGGCATCGTTAGCAAGGATTTTTTTTCCACTTTGTACTTTTACTTTCGTTTATTCTTTTTAGATTTTTGTATGCCATGTACCTAATGTTGTATCGCCGATTTGAACATAGAAAATCGCTTGTATGTTTTAAAAATGGTGATAAAAGTTTCCCATTTTTTATACAGCGACTTTACTACTATAATATTCTAAAATCCTAAAATTAAGAAATTGGCGCTTAAGTTTTCCCCTGGACACTTCCATTGTTATTGGCAACAATAACATCAATTTGACATTAAAAATTGAATCTGAAGGTGGCATGTTTCTTGTTTCAATCAGGATTATTTTTTCGATTTCTAAGGAATTCATAAAAGTCATGGAAACTAAACAATTTGCTTCATTTTAATAGGTTTTAAAGAGTTTCAAATAATTCTTTCTGCTAAATAAAATGGTCATATTGTATTTATCGCTGTTAAAATTTACATGGAACCTATGTTCAGGTCAGCAATTCCACAAATGATAGAAAGGAAATGTGTACGTACTTTAGTGTACTTGTTCAAATTCAAATATACGTTCTTACTGTTTCATTAAGGTAATTTCCTATATGAAATTCTAGGTCTTTGAATATTTTTTTGGTTAAAATATTAACGAACGTAGAATTTCAGTTCGGCTGTACATTTTCCACAGCAAGTAAAACGCTACGAATAAAAAGGTCGTAATGCGCAGTAGCTGACCAAAATCAATAAGTGATTTAGGACACCGTAAGTGTTATCATAGAATTTCTATTACATGGCGTTCAAAATGTGTATTCCATTATCTCTCTAGCACAGAACTGAACCAGATTCTCTATACCAATTTTTTCAAAAATAATCCTACATTCCATGCAGACTGCCTGCAGATATCCGCCCCATATAATTTTATATACTAGTTAAAAAAGAACTTATTAAAATATACTAAATAATTCACTATTTTGAAAAAAAAAATTTATTGTTCTATATCGAAGAAAGCAAAAGGCATATACCAAAAAAACACATGCAAATCAGCTGATCTACTTTATTTCTTTTCAGACCAGCTGTTGCCGAACTTGAGGGTATACAAATAAAAGAGCCGTAATGGCTTTACGCATACCTATGCTATTTTATATTGTGTAAACTTGTTTTTATTTTGGCTGGAAGTCGATGTGTCAGGTAGATCAGATAATACATTTTTGCTATGCACTTGTCCGGCTGTCCTTTTGTTGTTTAATCAGGTTTTGAGAGGGGTAAACCGTTTGTCCAGCGGAAGCGTTGGGATTATTTAATTAGAATTATAGAGAAAGGGATTATGTAGAGAGTTTCTTTTTTAATTCATTGTAATTAATAGATTAGTTTTTTCAAAATCAATAGTTTTCTTCTTGTTTTCGAGCTATTTTTGATGGGTAAACCTTCCACTAGATCCATTACGGTCCTTATAAGACAACATAGCGTAATTTCTTTGGATATGTGAGAGAATTAATTTTGGGACTTAACTTTGATGATGGTTAAACGTTATATAATTAGTTAATAACAGTAGTTCTGTCAAAATCGGTGACATGACCAAAATTATCATTTCATTTAGCTATAAATAATAAGTTCAATAGAAAAAACTTGTTCGACTATGTATAGGATAGTGATAAAAATTTTAAAATGTTACTGTTTACTGGTAATCTTATTAATTCTTAAGATTATGAACGGGTCGTGTCTCAAGTAGATATATAATTTTATTGATTCAAGGAACTTTGAAACTGAGGACTTGAAAATTTATCTGGCCATACTGGACTTTAAGGCTTATTTTTTTTGCAGGATCTTAGTGGTGGCAACAGCAATGATAGTTCAGGAGGACCTGCTCCTGGCACCCCTAATTCACAGGGTATGCGTCCAACGCCCTCACCGACAGGATCCACAGGTTCGCGATCCATGTCACCTGCTGTAGGTGAGTGAAAATATGATCTAATAACATAATAACACATAAATCAGTCAAGGTAGCAGGTTTCAAAGTGTTTAATTATTGTGAATTACTCTACATTTATACGTTTCAGTGTTTACATTGTTCCGCCATATGGTTTAAATAGGTTGATTTAAATTTACTTGACCTTGAAACGGCCACGGCGAGTAAAAATTTCATTACTTATTATGGAAATAAACAATAAACAAAAAAACGTTTATCTCTACGTAATATATAGTTTCCGTATTCTAAAAATAAACCACTTGCACTTTTTATGCGGTATTATTCAATAGTGGTATTGATAACGAGAATGAAGAATAAGTAATCTAGTAATTGATTTCATTCATTAAAAATCAGTTCTTTACATAATACGTGTGTGTAAATAACAGTTAATTCCACATGGAAACATAACATTATTACAGTAAATAACAAAAAAAATCTACCTTGAAATTCAATTCGATAATTTATTTATGAATGAAACTAAATGGGAATGAACTATATCTTTTAGGCCAAAACATTCCTATGCCTCCTCGGCCTTCGAGTAGCCAGTCGGATGGTGGCGGTGCTAGCGGTGGCGGCGGGGGCATCCCCGCAAGGCTGAGCCATTCGCCCATGCCACCAGGTCCAGGAAGTTACGGACCGCCGGGTCAGCAATCGCAACACCAAGCTCCTTACAAAGGCGTGGTGCCGGGGCCTGGCGGAGGCACTCAGAACTCGTCCCAGATTCCCATTTATCAGCACCAACCTGGACAGTACCCTGGGCAGGCTGTAGGCTACTCTCCTCGCCCTCCTGGAAACGTAAGTGCTAAAGTTTTTCTCGAGTCAGTTGGAATAGATTGGAACTGTCAGGACAAGCGAATTAAAAGTCCCAGTACTTCCAACTGATTTCGGAAATATAATTATACCTTCTAAAATTAAGAATTGAGTCTTATTTCTTATCGAGATTTTTTTTTTCAGTTTGGTCCAGCTGGACAGGGATACGTTCCTTCGGGCAGCCAGCCGCCGACGTCGAATAGCATGCCCCCGCAGCAATTCCCTGGCCGGCCTGGACCTCCGAACCATATGCAAAACTCGCAGTTCTCTCCCTACCAGCAGCCGTGGCCTTCTTCGCCCTCTCCGAGTCAGAAATCGAACACCGCTGGAGGTCCCAACGGTCAGAATCCTTCAGGGCCTCAAGGACCTGGGTGTCCATCTCCCGGGCCTAACCTGCGACCTCCGCATTACCTCAAGCACCACCTGCAACACAAAATGGGGTTTGCAGGAGTCGGACCTGGGTCAGCACCGCCCAGTCCAGGTCCGCCGCAGAATTTTCACATGGGGCCTCCGTCGGGACATCATCACTCTGGGATGGGACCACCGCCATCTATGGGACCTCCTAACATGCCGCCTTCGAGTAGTCCCATGCTGACCAACAACCATCCTCATGAAGGGCCCATGCCACCACCAAGCTCCACTCCAAATTCGCATTCGCAGATGGTGAACGATATGCTGGATAACGGAATTACTACGACACCTCAAGGATCGATTAACACTCATGTTAGTGCAGCTTCAGGTGGCTCAGTTACCTCTGTGGTAACCACTGGACCAGATGGAACGCCCATTGATGAGGGATCTCAACAATCTACTCTATCCAATGCTTCAGCTGGTGAGAGTCACGTTTCGTTTTTTTTGTAATTTACAGTAGTTAGTTTGAAGCCGAAGTAAATAAAAGATCAAGAACTAAAATCGAACTTCTGCCAGTGGCTGAAACTGAGTTACAAAGTTTACAACCGGCGTTCTAAAATCGGGGGATATTTTACGATACATTTTATTTACCGTAAAGTTTTTCCAAGATTGCTAGATCGGGAGTTGTTGAAATCAGATTCGCCTCTATAAAAGTGGTTGTAAAAATAAAAATGCGTTAGAGCATCGAAAGTTATATAAAAAGTTGCAAGTTTTACAGTGTAATTTCACTAAAACCGTATTCGACACTCTTTCGAGTTAATGATATAATAATTATATACATAATTCTGGTTTCTGTACGGGATATATTTATTTCCTATTTTAAGCTATCAAAAATAAATTATCCCTTCAGGATTCAACTAAATCGTGATTTAGGCAGATCAGCAGAGGGCGGCAATATGATCAACCTGTAAAAAGCTAATTTTTCATATACAGAAATGTTCATTTGAAATAAGTAACGGTAGTTTTATGATTATAAAGTCTCTATTTCTGGAACTGTTGAAACTTTGTTGCTTTAAGAGAAATTATAAAAGTTTGAGTAACTTTCACTTTCGCATGAAACTTTACTTGCATATACACACCAGGCACATGATGTTTTTCGAACTAAATTTAGTTACGTTTCTACCTGTTTTACAGTCAACATTTAATCGGTTAATATAATCAGTAAAAATGTGTCGTCATCTATTGCGTATGAGTTTCAATTTATTCAAATATTGTAACTAACACACATGCTTGTCTGGCTCCCATCTGTCTAAACTGATTAAAATTTTATTTTTAGAATCGTTTCATATTTATTTTTGAATATTTTTTTCGTCCATAGTTTTTTCTTTAGAAAAACTGATAAGAGTTTATTTAACATTTATTTTATTCGGACCTCTGTTTAATAAGATTTATTTAGGACTATAGGTTGTTTTTAATTACCTCTTCATACCTTACAAAATATTTTAGCTTCTGGTGAGGATCCTGCGTGTCCCCAGACTCCTAAATCTAACCGAAAAAATGACATGGGTCATTACGGTCATCCGACTACTCCTCAAAATACCGTACCGTCACCTGGAGCTAGTATGAACTCGATGCATGATGATTATGGGGACATAAGTCCTACATGGCCTCGCACTCCAGCTAGTCCAGTGAGTAGACATGTAAATATGACTGTCAATTTTAGTGTATTTTTTTATTCAATAACTGTTTTTTGATTGATACGAAGAAGGTGAGATGCTTGACGATGATACGATACGTTATTTTCTTAGTAATGAATTTATCTCTTCAGGCGTCTGTACTTTGTTTTGAAAAAAATAAAAAAATTCAGTGTCTTAATTTTAAGACGGTGGATTTAATGGGAGCTAGTTATATCTGCCTCTGTTTAAAGGGAATAAAGAATAATAAAAGTATTTTATTAATTTTACAGGTAGATTATAGCCAGGTCTCATTTTTTGGAGATGTTAACGTTGGTGTAGTTGTGTCGCAGTTTTTTGATAGCCCCTTCCTGTTTTATTTACATCAAATCTAGCCGATATATTATTGGTAGTTTTGAATATTCATATTCTCGCTTGGGTAGGTTGTTATTTTTCAAAATATATCACAATCTGATATTTGTTGGATTTGCGAAAAAAACAAGTGAACCAAAACAATAAACACTACTTATACATTTAATTGAATATCAAAACACTAATTAGCTTAGTTAATTGTGTTTCGCTATTAAGCTTTATTTTTTGAAAACATTTTGTAATGCCAAAGATGGTATGACTTTTTCAAAATTGTTTGTGGGATATGTAAGATGTTTTTTGGAAGTTTTGATTATTGTTTAGTTCAGCAAATTTGGCCTGTTTGTGTAGCACACTTTTAATATTTGTGAATGGTGAGTTCCTTATTTTTTTCGTATACCCCCCTTTTCCTACTTTTCGGTACGCTGTATATGTTTGATTGGCGATTATGTAAAAATAATTACACTCTTGTAATTACACGGCTTGTAATATTTTTTGCAACAAGGTATCAAAAAATATTAATTGATGACCTGATGATTGTATAAAAATTATAGAAACAATTAACAAGAAAAAGTTACCAAGACTTATCGGCACAACTACCTGACGATCTTCCTTTTTAAGACATTTTTTGACAACTTGAGCTAACTAGCGGGTCTTTACAGGTTTTTAACAGTCATGTGCCTCCCCAGGATACATATCGCTCTAAGGTTTATATACATATATTTTTTTTTATTTTTTTTGTCGGTTGCTTAAATTGGTAAATAATTTGCATGTAATTGGTAATAGCATGTTTTAAGCATGTCTCAGATTAGTGCTTGTATTTAGAAATATTTAGCTAACTGACCAATAACTCTCAATTTCTTGATGCTTTTGTCTAATCTTTAATTTCATTTTCCCCACCGTTGTTGCATGATGTTTACTATAATGTTTTTTAAGTCGCTTTGATCACAATTATATTTTATATTTGAAAAATAAGTTACGAAGGTAGATAATCTATTCAAGCTTCGAAGTGATTAATATATAATTCAAATTTCCACTCTATTAATAAACGTATTTTCGTTTGGGATATAGGAAAAACTATACTATTTAACTTATTTTTTTGTTGGTCAGTTAAGTAAAATGTCCCATTTTTTAATATTAAATTATTTTCGATCGTGGTACAGTTTTATGTTTTCGTTATGTAGGAAAAAATGATAGTGTCTGTTGTAGTGGAGTGTATTTTTTTCTAACGAGATTTTTAAGATTTAAAACAGTTAAAAAATGGGCATTGAAGTAGAGCAAGACTAACACTAGAGTTAGCAACTCCCTCTGTCGTGATCTGTTTAAATGTACCGTTTGGGTGTGGTGTAATTTCAGAAAACCGACAGCCTGAGCAAACTGTACGAGATGGATGAGAGTCCAGACCGCAGGGCCTGGCTAGACAAGTTACTCGCCTTCATGGACGATCGCAGGACACCGATCACTACGTGTCCCACCATATCCAAGAACCCTCTTGATTTGTTTCGCTTGTATGTGTATGTTAAGGATCGTGGTGGCTTTATGGAGGTTTGTACCTGTTCTGTGGACCTTGGGTGACCTAACCTTGAACTTTTGGCGGCGTTTCTTTAAAGTTTTTGGTTACGTCGCTTCGTGCCCTTTAATTACCGTCATGACTAATGCATGGATGTTTTTATTGAAGGATTTTTGGACAGTTTGTTCTTTCCACATATTTTTACCGTTTGCATGATTATATCTGTGGTCGCAAGGAATATGGAGATAATATGAGCAGCTAAGTTTCCTGTAAATAATTCAGTAACGTTCACTTGCAATTTCATATTAAAAATATATTCTGTGCGATCGAGGGTATTTCTAGCCTATAGAGGGTTCTTCCACACAGGAAAAGTTGAGATACATCTTATCGACAGACGCATAGTCATGACGGCTGTACAAAGAAATAAACAAGTCTAGCTGCACTTGGGAAATATAACTGAACACCAATCGCTTTCAGGTGACGAAAAACAAAACGTGGAAGGACATAGCAGGACTGTTGGGCATTGGGGCATCTTCTAGCGCAGCTTACACCCTTAGGAAACACTACACGAAAAATTTGCTGGCTTACGAGTGCCAGTTTGACAGGGGAGGAATCGATCCTCAGCCCATTATAAACCAAGTGGAGGCTAGCAGCAAAAAGAAGAGCTCGAAGAACGCCTCCGTACCATCGCCAGGCTCGTCCAATTCTCAGGATTCTTTTCCACCGGGTGGCGGAGGTGGTTCCATGGACGGCTATGGAGGTTATAATGGATACCCTCCTTCGGGGAATCCCGATTATCCGCAAAGGCCTTCGTCACAGTCCGCTCCGTCGCCTCATGGCGGTAAGTTTGGGGGTTTTCTATAAGCAAAACGCATTTTTCAACAGAGCTTATTTGATAAAATGCCTTTTGCCGTAGTGTTTTTTTTTCTTTATTCCAAGCCATAAAACTCTAAAACTACTGTTTTTTTTAATTAATCTACTAACTGCCAACCGTGATATATATGTTTGTGGTTAACCCAACGCATAAAAGGGAATTAAAATGTCAACTTTATCTAGAGATAAATGCAAACGAATATAAAGAGATTATGCATTTTATGAAACAACGCGGCATATACCGCATTACGTAATAGGTTTTAGGCTAAAAGCGCGACGTCGACGTAATTGTTTTGATTATATTCTATTATGTTTACATTCTTAAACTATATTCCTCTTTCTGCTTATATCGTTTTTTTTACTTTCAGGTATTGTTTTGATTTAAGAAAAATATATATTTATTAAATAATAAATATGATGTTTAAGGCCTATATACATATAAATCTGTTTTATGCGAGTTTGGATAATAAATAAATATTCAAATTTCAATTCAAATAAAGAAAATGTGTTTTTACTATCATACTATAAAGAATTTGTTGACCAATTGAAGATAAAAAAAGATTGAATTTTAGGTATTTTTCCTGAAATATTTTTTAAAAAAACTACCTATATTTATTATTAGATTACATACCGTACGGTCGACAAAAAAAATGGCGTCCAATTGGCTGGGAAATGACGATCGATGACATTTCTCATATAAATTTACATATAAAATGAAATTACAGCGACCCTCATTTCACATCCACCACTGACGCCGTTTTTTTTATATCGAATGTATTTTGTCCCTTATTTTTTTTTTGGTGAAAATCATATATTTTTTAAAAACTAATTATACCCTTCTGTATTTATCTCTCAGTTATCACTTATCAGTTTAAAATACTCGAATTATTTTTATCTTATGGCAAATAATCGTATTCGTTTTAAAATAAAAATAAAAATCAGGTTTCGTTGATCTACCAGCGTCGCTTTTTAGTTCACCGTGTAGGCAAGTTTCGTTTTTGCATCGTAAACAGATTTTTTTGCGCCATGGCTGACCGTATATAGGACTAGAGGATATTTTTCATCAGTTTATCGTTCTTTACAATGTCTCCGGCAATTCGGTGCGAAGCAGCAGCATGTATTGCGACTATTTCAATTATCATTATCACTTTTATCATCATTGGAACGCAGGTAGTTTCAGAATTTTATATTTCTATCTCGTAAGGTAAAAGTGCCAAATGATCGCTTATCTTGACACTTTTGATGTTATTTTTCTCTAATTTTTATGTCCCAACGTTTGACACATTTGTTTTAATTGATAACTTATCATTTTATCTTGTTAGGGCATGTAAACTTAAGGAACGAATGTATCTAGCTTTATTAAAATAATACTTCTTCTTATAGAATTCTGTCTAGAACGAGATTGCTTCGACATCAGGCTCGAAATGCTTACCAAAAGAATGATTTAAATGCAGTTGAGATATTTTACGGAGGGTTTTTGTTTGTTGTTGTCAGTGTTTGTGTGTATGTGTTTTATTGATGATATTAACGGATAAATTATGTGCCTCTGCAGCGCCTGGATCCGCTAATCACCTAAACAGCACAGCTTCAGGGGGTCCAAGTCCTGCAGGCGGGGCTGCGGACAACGTGAGCGTTTCCAATCCTTTCGATGATGTGTCGCCGAGTCCCCCGCCACGTGGGGGCCCATTTCCGAGTGGGCCTCACCCACCATATCCAACAAGTAAGTCAGTCAACTTGTCTCCTGCGAAATCAAGCTGCGATGCATATGAACGGGTTGGCATAAGAAGGATCTTTTCAATATTTTGATCTGTACGCGTTTAGGTAAATTACTAACAAATGTTATCGATGTCGTTCTACAGAATCTATTAGGTTAAGTACTCGTAATCTTTTTATACTAACCCATTCATGTACCACGTTCAATGTCCATTTATTTTCTTTTTCAGTCAGTTTGCTGTTTATGTTGAATAACGCTTATATATGTTGTAGTTTGTTTTTTAGTTGGCTTTTTTGTAACAACTTACCTATTTTCAATTGAGTATCAATTAGTTTTGGAGTTTTATACGATACGGTATACAGGGCACTTTAAAATTTTTCATCTCTAAAAAGATGAGACTAGTAACAGAACAAGAATATACGAGATGTATTTTTAAATAATTCTGTATATCGTTAATAATAATGTATTAACCCTGAGTTTTAATTGTCAATATTAATCTCTATAGACAACCCACCAAGACCTCCAGGAAGTCAAAATTACTCTAATCAACCAGGGTATCAATATTCAACAGGTTCTGGCCAAAATGCTCCACCAGATCAGTATTCTCCGTATTCAAACACTCAGGGTAAATATTTATTTTTTTCTTTAAGTTGAATTTTTAGTTTCGTTAAATTTTTAATTTTTCACTTCTGTGCTTTGCTTCTGTTGGTTTATTTAATTTTGCATGTGATTAAGAATGCCATGTGTATACACAAATAGGTTATCAGCCCGCCGTAAGACCCATGTATCCCCCATATTCAGGTGATTCATCAGGTGCCCCTCCAGGACAACCCAGCAGCGGCCAACCACCTTCGTCTGGGTCACAGGATCCTTACAATAGGTATAATGTCAACCCTGCCGCCGGTTACACTCCTAGGCCTCCATACGGGGGATCTCAGCCTTCTGGAGGACCGCCTTCATCGCAGCCTAGTGGTCCCGGTGCTTATCCTGGACATCAGGATTATTACAGACCTGATCAGGTAATTATGAAAAAAAAATGGTTTGTAAACTAGGTGTACTGACAATATTTTATTGTAGAACTCTGCTAGTGGCGGTTATCCTGGTGTTTCGTCCCCTAACAAAAACATGCCACCCCCTGGACCTCAGCCGCCTAGGCGCCATCCAGATTTCGCCAAAGATCAACCCTACCCTCCCTACGGACAACCTAGGACGCCCATGTATGGAGGCTGGACTAATAATAATAACCAATATAGGCCTCCTCAGTATGGCACCCCTGGGAGTAATCAAGTCGCTCCTCAGCAATGGAACCAGGGTGCCCGTCCCGGTGGTGGCCCATGGCCAAATAATCAAGGCTATCAGGGATCTCAGCCTGGGCAGAATCAGTGGCAGCCCATGACGACTCAAACGGGACAGAGCTCGCCAATGAGACCAGTGCATAGGCCGGGAAAGCCCTTTCCACCCATCATGCCACCAGGGAACGCTGCCAAGGGTCCCAACCAACCACCAGTTAGTAATTCTTACGGACACGGTCAGCTACCCAAAAGGGAGATCACTTTTCCGCCGGATAGTGTGGAAAATGTGACGCCTGTGTTGTATAGGAGAAAAAAGGTATGCCGGCAAGATTTGGGTCCTGTGGATGCTTGGAGATTGATAATGTGTCTCCGGTCTGGACTTCTCACTGAAGGGACCTATGCCTTGGACATGTTGAATATTTTGCTCTATGACGACACATCAGTAGGGTATTTTTCAGTGAATCAATGGCCCGGGCTGTTAGATTTGTTGCTTGAGCAATTCAAGAAGAACTTGTCTGATATGTTTGACGGTCCCTATCCTAAGGAATATAATGCAGATGAGCAAACTGAAGTTGATTTAGGCAGCGTAACAAGTCCTATAGACCCCAGCTCTAAAACTGTAGTGTTCAATAAAACTACTAATTACACTCTGATGTCACGAAGAGGACACCCAGTAAAGTTTGTAGAAAGGAACGACGATATTTTTGTGCAAGATACTTTGAGAGACTGGGATATCCGCGGAGATGTAAATATCGCTAACACTTCGGCAGAGATACCCGCGGACCCCTGGTATACTAGCACAGAACACATTTTGCCTAACTTTCAGGCAGAGTTCGGCCGCATACCATTCCATACCAGACTGGAGGAGAAGAATTCCAAATCCGAGACGGTGGTGAAGGATGAGAGCAAAAGACAAGCGACGTCGCTCATAGAAGACGTTTCTCCTCCTAAAGTGAGTGATAAAAAGCGTTGTAGGACAAAAACATTAAGTGATGTGATATCTCGAATTAAAAAGGAGTCGCCGGAAGACAACGCTGTCAGTGTCCTCATGATGGAGTCAAATACAAAACTGGACAATGTGAAGACTGAGGTAGTGAGTGAGACTAGTTTGAACTGCGAGGAATCAGCTTCCTCAAGTGTAGATCTGAACATTAGTGTAAATGGCGAGTGCAGCAACAGTACAGAGAACAGCGGCGACATAAAGAGGGTCAAGGGCCAGCCCATTCACGACCCGGCAGGCTCGCTCAAGCGCAGACGTTTGTCAGATTATGAAGACGAATCCTATTCTAGGGACGAGGCTAGTTTGGTTTTGCTGACTGAAAGCCAAGATAATTTGGGCAAAAGGTGCGTCTGTATATCCAACATACTTAGAAGCCTTACCTTCATTCCTGGCAATGAACCAGAGTTCGCCAAAAGCTATAGCTTCCTAGCGCTTGTAGGAAAACTGTTATTGCTACACCATGAGCATCCCCCAAGGACCCAAAAGACTAGAAATTATGATCGCGAGGTGAGTTGAAATAGCTAATCTGTTCCATTGTGTTTCATTGTCTTATTCATTGATATTTTTTTTATGTACAACAATCATTTAGTTTCAGAAAGATCATAACTGTTACAACAAGAATTTTTTTTGTCTATAAAAGAAACAAACTGCAACAAATTTAAATTGTCTATTTTGAAATATATCGTGTATATTTTAATATGGCAGCCTTGTATTTAGGAAGTAAAAATGGGGGTTTTAATATTAAAATTCAGATATTTTCGTTGCAGGAAGATGCAGACTTCGCCGACTCGTGCAGTAGCTTGCAGGGCGAACATGAGTGGTGGTGGGAGTTTCTAGCCCAAGTACGAGAGAATATACTCGTATGTATTTCTAACATCGCCGGTCAAATTGACGTGTCCGTCTACGGGGAGGAAGTAGCCAGGCCTCTTTTGGACGGTCTCCTGCATTGGGCCATCTGTCCTTCGGCCACCGCACAAGACCCGTTTTCTTCTATAGGCCCCACGTCTCTTCTATCCCCGCAAAGACTAGCTCTCGAAGCCCTGTGCAAATTATGCGTTACCAACAGCAACGTAGATTTAGTTATAGCCACTCCTCCATTTTCCAGACTAGAGAAACTGTGCGCAGTGCTCACAAAGCACTTGTGTCGGTCCGAGGACCAAGTGCTCAGGGAGTTCTCCATCAATTTGTTGCACTATCTGGCGGCGGCCGATAGCAGTATGGCTAGGGTGGTGGCTGCTCAGACTCCTTGCGTCTCCTTATTAGTCGCTTTCATCGAGCAGGCGGAACAAAGCGCCCTGGAAGTGGCCAACCAGCGCGGAATATCGGCACTGAGGGACAACCCAGACTCCATGGGCACGAGCCTGGATATGCTGAGGCGAGCAGCAGCCACTTTGGTGTTCCTTTCCAAACACCCGGAGAACAAAGCCTTATTAGTGCAGCAGGAATCACGGCTGCTGGCCCTCGTTATGAGCCAGATCTTGGACCAGCAGGTGGCTTTGTTGATATCGAAGGTGCTGTTCCAGATATCCCGCAGCTAATGTAGATATACGAGACTTGTTATTTAAGTAAGCGGCCTTGCTGGTGTACAGATTAACGATGTATAGTGTGACGTGACGGACATATGCAGAGGGCTGAGTGTGTATGTAAGTGTGTGGTGAGAACAGAATATTCATTCTATCGAGACCAAGACTAGCGACGAGATTCGTATCTCCGATATACAGCCTTGGTCAAAAATATTAAGCGCCACTGTAATACCATGCTAATTTAATCTTTCCTTTATCAATCATACTTTTGTAGTTTTACTTATATAAAGACACTATTTTAAACAACAGTTATATATAATGGAATATCGACGCATGCAAATCGTAACTTTTCTACAAATAAAACCTGTGATCTGTAAGTTTCAGTTATCTTGTTTTTTGGAATTTGAGTTAGCTACGTGGATATTATTTTGTTCAAATATCAAACAAATAAGAATTGATGTGTTACTACAAAAATTGTTTAAAATGTGTTTCGATTACAACTAGTGAACAACAATGTGTGTAATTCTTAAAAGTGAATTTTGAGATGGCATAATATTATAGGGGTACGTAAATAGTTTCGACCACGGCTGTAAGTAATCGATCACTTAGTGTAACCCACTAATTGTACCATTTTGTAAATTAAGCGACATATGTCTTTCTGGAAATGTTAAACATACATCCATGTTACTTATTTTTATGTTATTTATTATTTGATATAAAAAAGAAACGGTATGTTTGTAACTGCAACTGTCCAGTTTTGAGCGTGGCCGGGGAGGTGACCATTCAGTTTTCTGCGCCATGCGCACCCCTCTTTCAATTTATTTCATGTTTGGTATTACTGTGCGAATGCTTTATACATGTCTGATAATGAATTTAATTAAATAAATGTACAAAGGAAGTACCGAATATGGTGTTTTTATACAAGTTTAATTTTCTATGTATATTTAGAAATGTTTTATACATCCCAATTATAGCTGTTACACTTAAAAAATCTGTTATTTGATTGAACAAGGATGGACTGTATACATTAGAAAAGACAGTCTTGAACTAGAACTCAAATTGTAGTTTAAAATATGTGGTGATATTTTTCTGGCTGTAGGTATATTCATCTTATGTATGATTGCATATTGTAAAATAAGTAAATGCTAAATACACTATTTCCTCTTTAATTTTACACAGTCCCTGTTAGGTAAATTTCGGAATTTTCAGTTCCTTACCAAGAGCTTCTGATACCCTTCCTAAAACTTATTCTATTAGTACCAGTAAGAATAAAAACTTTGGTAATAGAATAAAAGCTGTAGAAGTACCTACAATTTAATTTGTTAAGGAATTACAATAATTTTCATTATACCGGACTAGAAAATTATTTTCCACTCTATAAATAATTTTTGTGTAAAACTGAAAGTATGTGGTTACATTTGGTCATAGAACATTAAACACTGATTTTATTATGTTATTCTGGACATATCTTTTCAATCGTAGTTTAATTCTGTTGTAGAATTCAAAATTATAATGTATATGTTTACTCATTTATTCATTGCCCTTTATTTTAGATGAATCCTATTCATTTTTACTTATACTATACCAATTGAAGATATACTATACTCAAATGTAAACTTTCACCTTAAGAAAATGTTTTGACAAATTAAAAAAAAACTAGTATTAGAGAAAACACTTACTTACTTGCAATAAATTACCAAATCCACTAAATAAAAATATACTCATAAGATAACTTAACAATTTACATCCTCTGCTATCACCACGTAAAATTCTAACATTTGCAATAAATTTGGACCAGATACAAGATAAGTTTTCTTCAACAATTTCTCTTATATGCATTTGGGAATTACAAACCTTATTTTTCTGGTATTTTTTTATTCAGACCGTCAGTATATTTTACATAATACACCGACACCGAATTTGAGGAAAATAAAATTCATTAATTTTTTTGTGCTAGGTTTTCTATAGTCGACATGCGTGTAATAATGTGATTATTAGTGCGTACCGAATGATTTTTTTCCACAAACATTTTTGCGACTTTTTTCTGTATTGAAATTAAAACATATCGGTAAGTAGAAGTTATTTCATTCAATGTACTGAATTAGTTTTCTTGTGATTTCAGATAATGAGTAATAATAGAATAATAGGTATTTTATTTATATTGAAAAGTTATCTTTTCCTATTGATAATTGGTACAAAAATTGTGATTTCCTATAAAACTACCTAAATTATAGTTCTTAGTCTTAATGTTAATAAATCATATATACCTGTAAAATTCATTTAATTACATAAAATTTTGTCGAATTTTTTTTATTTTTGAAAAAAATGCCTTGTTCTAAGGCCTTGTTTAAAGGGTTTATGCAACCCTTTAAACAAGGCATTTTCTGTAGTTGGTAGAGTTGATAACAGGTGGCAGATTATTGGAATAAAATAATATTTTATTAGCATGTTTAAAATAAATAAAATTAACATGAAGATTCAATATTTAAGCAACAGAATTATATAATTAGACTTGTTAAACTATATGCTTAATAATTACAAGTAATTGAAATTTTTGAACGTATTCCCTGGAATGTCATCGGACCCACCTTTCTGTGTTCTGTGCCCTCCTCCCACCGTGTCACGATTTTTAGAACATGGCGGTGGTTCTCTTGTAAACACAGTTTTTTGTTGGCTATATAACACTTTCGAAATGAAAATGCCGTACGTTTAGGGTTGCGAATTGTTTCGTGGGGTTTGTGGTTTCGCGAAAAGCCTAGCTCTGCAGGCCGCATGGTTTTCTATTCAGATGTCAGCTGTTACTCACTCAGTATCAGGTTAGTCTCGACTAGGGGTAGTTTTTCTATAAAAGAAAAGTGTATATTATTCAAGTGTTCAGGTTCTTTCGCTGATTTGCAGTTTTTCATTTTATATAGGCTTTTTATTATCCGAGATTACTGATAAATAATTAAATAAGGCGTTTGAAGTGATCTGCATTTCTGCTGGATGTGGGGTTTTCTCATGGACTAATTAAAACTATCCAGTATATTAATATACCATAGTGTGCCAGTAAACTCCTTTTTTGTAATAAATAAGATAATAGTTTGGTTACTCACTACTTAAAAATATAAACCTACCTATATAATATTTTATAAATATTTAAAAAATAAAATACAAATTTTATTTATAATATATATTTTTCCTTTCCTTTCCAGGTGCTGATCCCACAAAGGGTATCCAAAAGAGGCGTGCAGTTAGTATAGGGTGAGTTTTTCCTAGTTCTTATCACTGTGGAACCTATTTGGAATTGTACTAATATTAGGTCATAGAATCAGCTATACTACAGCATGCTTACTAAAATCTTTCTTTTTCTTAAAGTATATTATCTCTGTAAAATTTCAAGCAGAGAAAAGGTACATTAATTTTCAAGTTTATTTGTAGAATATTTGTCAAAGTGTGTCAAATTTGTCAATATTTCATTATTACTTAGTGTTTGTTCTTTCCAATGAATGTTTTACATAATATTTGAATTTATTGAGTGATGAATGAGATGAGAAAAATGCATGGTGAGTAAATGACTCAAAATAATCTTCTACATTATTAAAGTTTTGGCGGATGCGCAGGGTTCTGAACATATTAACATTGTTAATCTAAGGTATTAACATTGTAATAACAAAAGGTTTTTTTTTTCTTTAGGGGCATTTAATAAATGTGTTTAGGCGAACATCGCCTATTCCCGTTTTTATCAGCGGTAAATTTTTTATCATCATAGCTATCAGGTGTCGGTATTTATGTAAATTGAAAATGCTTCATACCGTCTTCTAGATTCAATTACGATAACATGTAAATATTTCGTCTTATCATTTAATGAATAGCTTTTAATGCTTTTTTCATATTACTTTTAGAACATCTTTTCTTTATCAGTTCAAGCCAAACTTAGTTCGTTTTAAAAAATGATTATTAATATGTAGGTTGTAATAAAATTCCTGTGCAGTAGTTTTCAGTTTATTGCTATTTTTACAGAACTCTTTGTCTTTGGAGATACAAAGTACATTAAAATAATATGTTTAAGGATTTTTACATAATGTTTCCGGTCGTCTCAGCGACATATTGGGTTATCGTGACCTGTATGAAGAATGAGAGTACATAGTTGCTGGATTTTATAATATGGGGGATATGATAAGGCCTTATAAATGACCTGAAGTTTATACAGGCGCATTTTAATGTAGGATTGGGCTTTCAACGCCATTTTTTATACTTTTTTAACAAATTTGAGTTTTATTAGGATAAAGATTTTAGTGTTCACCTTGTATTTTTTGACTATTTTGTTATACTAACGCCGATTGTATCCATATATTTAAATATTTACTGTTATTTTTTTTGTTGTACTCAATAAAATACGAATCGTGCAGATGTTCTTTCAATAATTCATTGTTTTGGCTCTCAGCTAAAAATGCAGTATTTAAATTTTCTGGCTTCTGCTATCGAGAAAATATATGACACTTTAGAGAAAGTAATGTGATGTATGGATTTTCTCGAATTTCTGCATTTAAACGGCATGTCTCGTTTAAATACAATGGGGAAAACAATAAATTTGAATGCACTTTTACATCTCAATTGCGAATATACCTTTAGGAAATTTAATATTGTAAGAACATCAGGCGATGGTCACGTTTTGCAAATGTTATTACTTTAGAGCCTAATTTTTCTGGTTTCAGTGGATTTTTTAATAATCTTGAGGTCAAATTTCATCTAGACAATGCATTAGAATTTTTTTCTTTCAAAATGTTTTTAAATAAAAGAACCTAAATACAACGTCATTAAAACTAATTCGAAATGAACTATTAATGGGGCTAATAGACTTGTTTGTCAAGTCTAGTTACTAATTTATTTCAATTTTGTTTGGAATTTCGTTGATAAAGTAAAATATGAAATGCTGTTACTCTAATCTGGAAAATAAATAATAACATTTGACTAATAAATATAAAATGTATTGTTTTTTCGTTAATTTAACCACAAGTAAATTGATAATCGCTAATTTTATTGCTTGTTGAATTCATTTTCCCATAAAGTTTTACGGGTAATTTATCAAATTTTTTGTATTTTTATAGTCGTCGATAATTTTTATGACCCTTTATTTTTATTTTATATTATTTTAAATTTTCTTAGCATTTTAAATAATCAGCAATTTTTAGAAACCTTAAAGAGTTTAAATTTATTTTCGTCATATTTAATTTTTTTCAATGACCTCAAATATATCTGTAGCAAAAGAGAAAATATAATGTAATATAATAATTCTATATACTGCTTCGATATACGGCTATATAAAGTTTTCAAACATACTTGTGAAAAATGTATTGAAATAACGATAGAAAATAATTAATTTATTATTGGAAGGAACACAGGGTATTAAGTATTTTAATGCCCCAGATTAAAATATCGATTTGTATGATTTTTTACAGGAATTAAATACTGTCTATATACCTTTTATTTCTTGAAGCCTTCTGGGTTTTGGTTTGGTTTGGTTTGGTTATATAGATAAGCATAAAAGTAAGCACTTTTACGTCTAAGTACAAAAGTACAAAAATATATTATTAAAGTGACATAAAATTCAATGAGTTTAACATTCTTAATCTAAGAGTTTAACTATAGTTTCTCGATATATAATTATTTACAAGGTATTACTTTTAAATATTTTAATTTGCATTGGAAATTGTTTAAAACCTATTTGTAGGGTTTGAAATAAAATAGCATGTTCTATTTGGAGTAAAAATTACTTTTTGTGCCTCGCCTGGTAATGTCAAACGTACAGCCTCGCCAAAAAAAAAGTACCACTTTTACTTCTAATAAAACAATATTTTACAATAAAACAACAATTCTTGAAACGTCAAGCATATTTTGTCGGTTAGGCAAATTTGCTTTATTAGTAAAATACCACTCTTAAAACAACAAATAACCTTTTTATTTTGGAGATTCGTATTTTTTCATGGTATTAAAATAGATATTTAAAAAAAATATTCTTTTTATAAAAAAATATACCTAATTGAAGTTCCACTTTTCGTTAGGCTTCAGCAGTATTAATAAATACCGTATGATCGAATAAAAACGGCGTCAGCGATGGCTATGAAATGAAGATCGCTGTCATTTTATATGTAAAATTATATGACATATAAATGTCATCGATCCTCATTTCACAGCCATCGCTGACGCCGTTTTTATTCGATCATACGGTATTTTAATTAATATTATATCAAATATCAATTCGAGTAAAGATATGAATAATTTTAGGAATACTGATTTTTTGTATGAAAATAAGCCTCCGAAAATCAGCTTAAATAAAATGATGGTAAACACATACCAGAAATAGTTTGAAACTGTACGAAAGAAGCGAAACTGTACACTGTTTCCGTCTTAGGAGAATCTGTCTCCTGGCACAGACAGAAACCAACTAAAATCGTTTTCCGAAAGCTCGATTATGCCAGCCGAAGCTGCTAAGGTAGGAAGGCACCTTACTTACAAATCCGCGAACTTTTCTTATCGCTATCAACCACCAACCAACCAGCCCATGGCACAACCCCACCACCATGTTCCTCCATGTCTCTCTGCGGAGGAGACGACTTCATCATGGCTCGCGTTCACAGTGCTCCACGTTGCCCGACACTTTGTGCACCTGGGTTTCGTCGCCGATAGCTTTTTCATCGCGATCGAGCTTTACTCCGGCCAAAAACCAGGCTCTTAATCAGTTTTTCAGATGTGTGTTCGTTTCTTTATCTTTTCATTTCGATTTGCGGAAAATCACGCTTTAATACGGATGATGAGGTGATAGTTCTCGGGAAAGTCAGTTTTTTTTTTGGTTCATAAAATAAATAAGTGTGGATATGTACGCGTATGCGGGGAGCGGGCCTCCCCATTATGCGCCCCCTTCGACGTATTTACAGCCCCCTCCGCCGCCTACGCACCACGTGCAGGTACCACCTGTTGCAATGGCCCAAGAATCCAACCCCGTACCCCAGTATTCCAAGAAAAGAAGGTAAATTTTCATTGTCCATTTATGCAGGTTTTCTTACCTCTAGCTCTTTATAGGGGATGAATTATGACAGGGAATCCCCGTAGAAATTTTACTGCTCTTTTTTGTTTCATATTTTTTCCTAATGTTATTGGGAATACCATCAGGATTTGAATTTTTCAATGAATTTTTATTGGAAATTGGAATAATAAATTAATTTCATATTCAGAAACAGAATCAATTGGTGACATATTGACATATTTAATAATTTTTCAAAAAAAAATCTTTAGCTTTTTCTATCTAAAAAAATGACAATTAAGTAATAATAGTTGTTTTAAATGTTCTAGCAGGGTTTAAAAATATTGTTGCTGAGAGATCTTACAGTGATTTACAGAAAATATTATAGTAGGGGAGCCCAAGATGGCTAAATCGGGATGTACTCGAGCCTCGTGGGGATCTATTGTATTGTGATAATTAGATGCCAAAAGGTTAAATTATGTATGCTCTATCACTGGTCGAGGATGCGTGTACAGGTTTTCAAAAATGTACAAAAAGTCACAAAGAAATACTTGGATATTTAATATATTAATAATGAATGCCCATCTCACGTGTTTCTGAAAAGGAAGGGATATTAATCTTCCGGTTTGTATGGTGGGGGTGGCCACTCGAAGGGGTAGAAAATTAGAAAAGAAAAAAATAATTCGAGTGCGTCAAATATTCATTGGGATGTTAAGTGAACCTTAAAGAAGTTCCTGTTCAAAAGACAGTTGATTTGGACGCGACCAAAACTCATGACAGATTTTCAGAAATAATATATTCTTGAACACCACACTTTATTGACGATTTCAGCTACTTCGGCTTTTGGAAATCGACAGATTTTGTTATTTTCGTGATTCTTGAATGACTTCCTGCAATAATCAAATAACCATGCATACTCGATAATGGCTAGGTGAAGTTCTTTTTGCAACTTTATGACTCTCATTTTTTTATGTCAGGCATAAATTGTCAGATTACTCACCTTGCTCTAATCTGACGAGCTCGAGGTTTTCTAACGATCATTTTTTTACTGCTCTGATCGGCTGCCCTACACGCACGACCCTGTCTGTATAGAAGGTTCATGTATGGTGCTGGTACATAACAGATTGCAAGGTTTCTTCCCTTATTCTGCCGCGCTTGAGTTCCTTTACTACTTATTATAATCACCGCTTGGGCTCCCTTACTATTAATTATATAAAATGATAATAGTCTCAATATAAATGTATAATTTATTCAGTTAAATACGCTAACTTTTTTTTCTTGTAATATGTTATTTGCTTATAAGAAAGTTTTCTCTATAGTTACCAGATCATTTTATATGTATGTAGCAAAAACAAATTTTAGTTGTTATAATAAAAAGGAGCTTATTTTAGCAACAGAAAAGGGTATGGGGATCGAGAGTATAGATTAGTTTAGTCTGGCACATGTTTTTATAGCTGTCAGTTACCGTTATGTTGGTGGGGTTGTTGCTAGGAATTTAGGGTTGACACAAGAACATGCCGGTAGTTCTATGTTTATCTGATTTACTGATCTTCGAGTGGAGGATACGTCCGATGCTTATCAGGATAATTCTTTTTCAGTTTTAGAGGGTTGTATTATATGCATATCCAGCACATCTTTATGTTAACGTTTTGTACGTTTTTGTTGTCGAAATACACAGACAGCAAAATATTTCTATTATTTTTGGTATGTTTTTCAAATAATAAAATCTGTTTAATCGAGAAATCATGATTTTCTATTACAATTGGTTTACAGGAATATTTTAATACAATTTGTGATTATACCAATTATACGTTGTAAAGATGAAAGAAATAAAACAACTTGAGCCAATGACACTTGGTATTATTATTTCTTAACATTTGTTTATCTAACCTAGAAAAGTTTTTGTAAATACGTATCAGCACTTTCTCATTAATGTTTTTGTAAGAAAATCCGATAAAATGGTTTGTTTTAAATGTTCTTAGATCAATATTAAGTTTCATGTTTCATGACTAAATAAGAGCTACGAATCCAAACAGTTAATTTATTTAAAACATTTTTCTAAGACGCGCTTGCAAGAGTACTGTTTTCTAAAACGTATTGAATATGTTAATCAGCGACTATTGAAACTAAAATATACATAATGTAAGGTTTTTTAAACAACTGCTTAGTAATTTGAAAACAATTGTTGGTCGGAACCATTCATATGATATAAATAAAAATAAATAACCACAACTAGGATATTAGAATAACCATTTCCCGTCTTTAAATTACACGTATTAGACCTTTTTTTTTAAATGCAGCTATAACTGGTGTAATAAAATAGATTTAAATGGAGAAACCGAAAAGATCTAGTCAAAATTCTGTCCTTATCAAGATTATGAGGTATACGTAAAGCATTTTAACTCTTGGTTTTTCTTATTTCGTCGATTATACTCATTTCCTGAACCCTAAAAATCCGTACATGCTTTGTTAACAAAATATTTATCGTTTTTATTACTTGGGAACGAATATTCGTGCTTGTCAGTGATTTTAAAGAAAATGTTTTTTTTAAGAATTATTTCCATAATTTTGATACATTATTTTCCCTGAAAATCCGTTTTTTTTTTAATGATTTGCCTTTTAGCTATACAAAATGGTTTGTTTTAAATGTTTCTAGTCTATATAATTAGAGTTGGGAGGATATATATCATGTGATATTAATAGCTTGATATATATCCGATATATTCGATAATTTCTTCAGGCCAATTTGTTTTACTAGTAATTCCACTGCCATATTGGTCTCAGTTGAATCAACGCAGTGGTGTTTACAAAAAACAACTATCTTATTTTGTCGATTTTCTTCTAGTGACGAAAAATCCAGAATTATTTTCAAAAAGTCACTGAAATGTCGTATTATACTATCTTTAATAAACTTAAACTTCTAAGATGCATCCTCGCAAAAAATTATGAAATACCTAATGGTTGGCTTAGCAAAATTCCGTAGTTGCCGGTATTAATTACAGATTTTCAGCTCGGCTGAACACGAAATCATAGATTAACGTACAACTTGCGTACAACTAATCATTTAAAGTACCCGATTCATCAGTTTAAGAGCAAATACCTAATGAAAGATTTCTATTGCACGTCATACAATAATTTTATCTCTTCTCCTATAGTAAACTAAAAAACAGTTTCCCTGGCTATTCTTTCGTTAAAATAAAACTCACTGTAATTCAAATAAAAAAAAGTAAACTTAAAAAGTATGAAATGCCGTATTAAATTACACAGTTCAAAAAAATAATATTGGTTACAGGTAGTTCATATATTCCAGGGATACACTGTTACTTAAGAAGGCAAAACGTTCGCGAAGTAGCTTACATTGTTTTGAGAGAGCGACATAAACTAAGTAACGGTAACGGCTTACAGTTTCTATAATACCATTTCAACGGGATATTTTAATTTAAAACTTTGTACAAGACGAGGAGCAGAAAAATTATTTATATGTAACTGTCCCGCTGAAGTCAATCATAAATATTAAAACACATAGATCTAAATTATTAGAATTTGGATCATTTGATATCTTCTTGAGATAATCGGTTTATAGAGTTACTTATGGAACAGGAAGTTAAATACCTGGGAATAACCCTGGACAGTAAACTCCTGTGGAACAGGCATATTAAGAACACTACCAGCAAAGCCATAAAGGCTCTCATGATATGCAGAAGACTGGCCGGAAATAGATGGGGCTGCTCCCCTAACATTTTGCGCTGGATGTAACCATGATAGTAAGACCCATGATTACTTATGGAACAGCTGCCTGGTACACAAAACTAGAGCAACGGACGGCAAGGCTAAACCTATGCAAAGTCCAGAGACTAGCATGCGTTTGCATCATAGGAGCCATGAGAACCTGTCCAACAGCAGCAATGGAGGTCATTCTAGATCTAACACCACTGCACATTGTCATTGGTAGATATGCCAATGCGACAATGATTAGAATGGTCACTTACGGAATTAGTACTGGGAGAATTGTCAGATCAGGGGCTTGGAACACCCTCATAAAGGAAATACCACTCCTGCAACTCCCAGTGGACGATATGCCAAGAACGTACAACTTTGAGAAACATTTCAATGTAGTATTGAGCAATAAAAAGGATTGGAAGAGCGAAACGCTTGCCCAGCAGTTAAAAGACCATACCATAACTTGGTATACTGATGCTTCCAAATCCAATACGGGAACAGGGATCGGAGTGTTTGGGCCGAGAGCTAATTACTCCGAACCAATGGGCCCTAGTATCCTACAGGCAGAAATCTACGCTATCGAGAGATGCGTACAACTTATCTTAGATAGGAACTATCGGAACAAGAAATAGCCATCTGGTCTGATAGTCAAGCAGCGTTAAAAGCGATCAACTCAGTATCAATCAATTCGAAATTGGTCAAAGAATGCATAGAGAAGCTGAATAAATTAGGCAAAGAAAACAAAGTCCTCCTACTCTGGGTGCCTGCTCACCAAGGGATAGAAGGCAATAAAAAAGCAAATAATCTAGCTAGGAAAGGAGCGAACATTCCACTAACTAGACCAGAACCGTTCTGCTTTCCAAGTGGTAACCAACTCAAGGCAGAACTCAAGAACTTAGAAGATTCCATCCGCAACCTGGAATGGAAATCTTGCAACGGTCTAAGACACTCGAATAAGTTTCTGAGGGCTTATGATCAAGAAAAATCACAGATCTTCCTGGGTTTAAGTAAGAACAATCTTCGGATTGTCACGGCGTTTTTAACAGGACACTGTCTCCTCAATGAACAGCTCAGTAGATTGAAACTAAGAAGAAACGGCGAATGCAGATTCTGTGGGGAAGATGGTGAAACACCAGTACACCTCATCACTGAGTGCGCCGAGACGACAACCATTCGTGCCATGAATTTTGGTACGACTGATATTGGAGATGGAGAACTATCCTCTATAAAACCGTCCCAGATACTGGCTTTTGTCAAAGCCCTGGGACTGTATGATGAGTTATGAT